GATCGCCGTGATTCATGGTAAAGGAGTCCCACTAAGTTCTAATCCGCGGCAATGTGACTGAAACCTTGTGGTCAAAGTGAGGAATGGAAGATCCCCACTACATCGTAGCCGCGAAAATTACTGTTGCCTCTTTAAGGAACAGAAATGCGGTTGTGCTAAATGACATTCGCAAGTCTGGAAACATCAAGCAATTTGAATGCAAATTTCATTGACAGAAGGGTGTTGGTCTATTGTAGAGCAAGCTTGGTGTGTGGAGCCAAACCTTCTCTTGTGCATGTGGCTGGTACAGATGCATTTTCATGATACGAAGAAGTGAGCTCTTGTGCTCGTAGCTAAGAGGTCGAATGTTCCAGTCACCTCTTTTATAACACCGTGGTACAAAGCTCAAACATAATTAAGGAACGGTGGTTACTTGTAGCATCTAGAGAGCTTCAGACCGCAGTGGGTTTCAACGGGTCTCATGAATTTCTTTTGTGCTGACAAATGTGTCAAAGTAGACTCTTTCTTTAATGCGAATGACGTTTTTTCCGATGCTCTGACCAAGGCAATGTAGCAAAAGGTATTAAAGTGGAATTTATTGATCGGTCGAAAGCAAACAATGGAAACATAATCATAAATTTTTTCAATTTAATAAGCGTTTTAAAGTAATTTACCCGATTCATAGAAGACTTCAAAGGCCCTAATATGCTTTGTGTTTATAACACCTCATGTGAGATAACATTTATAATTACTAAAACTATTTGTGGATGTCACATTTACCATTCAACATTTTTGAGTTCGAAAATCTGTATTGCACAGGATTATGGTTGCATAGAATAGAAAGTTCACCGTGTCTACAAGTTTCATTACACACTTAATGAGGGTTTGAAGGCACCCTGAAAAAGCAATTATGCACTGTCGTCTGCATAAGCATTTAGGGATTTTGTAAGAATCACGCGAGATAGATTGTTAAGAGCCGTACTAAAAGGGTTTTTAGTGCAAGCTAAACGCCTGCACCCGAGTGCAGTTCTGTGCACGTAAAAGGAACCTTGCATCGTTTATATTTGGCCGCAGCATTTGCAGGCGGGAATGGGGAGGCTTTCATATTCGGTGCTCACATCTAGTCACTTCTTGAAACTTTGCGCTGTGATGCAGCTGATAAGTTGAAGGATTTATCATTACGGTTCAATTTGTCTTATGTTAAGATATCATAATTTAAATATCACATTTGAAAGGGTGGATGTTTAATTTCTTCATTAAGACCGAAACTGCCCACTTTTTAAACCAATACCTAGACATTAAATATAAAAGCACCGGCATTAAGTACTGCTTCCAATTTTCTGCCGTCTCTGCGGTTTGAGCGATTTGTTTGACAGCAATATGGATTGCACACTACTAAGCTTTGTTTTCCGTAATTGTAATAACCTTGATTTTACATGTGCGTTACTAAACAAAGATGTTTTTTAAAAGTAGCCACTTCATAATAAAGTGTGTTTTAGACCTACGTGCTTTGATTTAACGTCTCGTTTATATTTACATTGTAGATTCTATCAAATATGAACCAATAGACTTTCTTGTCTATTTGACAAATGTGAAAAATAGTTGCCTAATATTTCTTACAAGTGGAGGTGTTAAACTTCATGAACTCAAGGACTCAATATTATTTTGTTCTTTTCGCGAATCCTTGCAGAATTACCCCCACGACATTTGGGTTTGCTTTATCATAAAATCATTCCATTTGCTCCAAGGCACTCATCTTATTTTTAGTCAAATTCTGATGTTACCATGACGTTCTGGAATGTCCTTTCTATTGACTAGTTTGTCCTCTTTTCCAGCATTTTTCAGATCGCAGACTCTGGTTAAACAACAAATAAATCACGAGTGAACGCAAAATCTGTTTAATGCTGGTGTGACAGTTATGTTCTTTAACAACCTGTTTCGACATGATCCTAGATTCCTCCCATTACTGTGCGCCTTGTTGACCATTTCTGGCACCTTATTTTCATTTTTATAGACCCACGAATGGTTAATCTCGTTCACATTGTGTGTTTATGCGTCTGGTAGTTTGCTTCGAATGGGCCTTATTAACCCCTTGATTACCACAACCTTTCTCAATTTCAATTGTACAACATTTCTCAATAAAACGAAAATTGCCATTTAAAAACTACTTTCTGCTAAAGGCCTACTGCTAGCTTTCAGACTCTTTCTAATAACTTAGACCTTGCTGATGTGACTTTACACAATGTTTTGTAATTTGTTTAGGCAATAACTGTTTTTGACGGCAAATCGTTGCTTTGGCCTACTGGTGAAAATGTGAGGCACTGGGTATAGGCAATACCAGCATTTTGATCCACAAAGACTTTCTAGTTTCATTGCCTCGGTGAATGAAATTGGCTATATTAATAAGAATCCCGGATAAAGACAATTAGTTAAATTTTTATCTTTCAGTACTTTGGATTGTAGTGGAAAAAATGTTGTGGCTTCTCATTTAGAAGGCCGCTTTTTTACAATACATTTCAACAGAAGTAAACAATCCTTGTAGGTCATCAAACTTTTAATTAATAGAGTAAACTTACTGGTAACAGCACTTAAACTTGACTTTTTCTATGAGAGATATTTCTGAAAATACGAATCGGATAAAGTTTGATATGGCCTTTTGGAACCACAAAACATTACAAAAACATTCTAAATAATTATAAATTAAACGTGATGAATTTAGTAGCAACTTGCTGTAATTTATTAAAAGATTGACAAGCATCAGAATATTTGAGAAAGGAATTACTTTTGAATCTTTAAAGACTTTTAAATAGGAACCATTGAAGAAATAAAAATATGCTATATTTTCTGCCGATGCCTGAAGTTAATGAAACCTGGTAATACTCTTGCACAAGTCTAAGCGCTTCATCTTTTGGTGCCAAAACTATGACCGAATTTTTGACTTTTGGGAGCTTTTAATGTCACGTGAAAAGGAAGTCAGACGTTTACAAGTTACCTTTGTCATTCATTCAATAACAATGCTCGAGAATTTTCAGAGGTTTAGGGCAATGGTGTAACGTAACTTACCTTATCTGACGTCATGTGAATTTTTTCACAAAACACCATCATTTGATCTCAGTGTTCTCGGGCTTAATGTTCAGGGGTAGCTGAGTGAACTTTCTAATGTCGTGCATTTTTCGTAAATAGGTACATTATTTGTGTCGTGGGACATTGGCACAAATAAGTTGGGTAGTGGATTATTCTCCAACAGACCCTCACATGATACTCCACACTCGGGGTTCTACAAGTTTAGTTCTATGTGTTTATTGGCGCTGACAATTTTAGAGCTGCCTTGACTGTTGAGAGCATGGAAGTCAAACAGTTTGATGTAGCCAGCGGTAATTCGGGGTTTCGTGCTAAAGGAGACCATAATAAAGAAGTTAAAGAGAATATTTGGATTAGCTTGAAACACGGTAAATGAGATTTCTTAACACGTTTTTTTATTAGAAATACACTGGCGTCTCCAGGGAGGCTAGATCCATGTCAGAGAGCAACGCGGAACTCAAAATCCTGTGCTGTTTTTGTCATTTGACTACAAAATGAAAACTCCTTGGCACGAAGAACTTTAAATTCTGACAAATTCTCGGATTGGAGCATCTGATTAATTTTAGCCCAACCTCAATGTATAATCAACGAATAAATTTCAGGATACCAGGTTAAATCACTTACAGGCGTCGTTTGTAAATAAATTTCTAAAAACATAATTTCAGTATATAGTTTAATTAATTAATACGGTTTATAATTGCTGACCTTATCTGTATAGGTAATAGTGATGCCTAAAAGTCTTAACTTACCATAAGTAAAATTGGAATTGCTGTTTCAATATGAAACAAACACATTAAATGTTTACGAAACTTCGAAATCACTGATTTGACTTCTCGGCACATAAAAAGGGAAATACAAAGTCATCGTTCATAAAAGCATAAAGGGTGTGTCTGTACTGCATTAAACATTTAATACTTTTGGTCAAAATTCATATTTATAATATTCAGGGGTACAGTGGAAGAGAGTCGAAATTTTTTTCTGAATTCATCATTTCAAAAACGCTGTGTACCTTAATTTGCTGTATGTGACTAATTCATGGTTGAATTCTTGTGATAAATGGTAACTAAGAGCATTTGCCATGAGCTACATCCTGGTTTTAAGTGACACTAAATAAGGTAGCTACCAGGATTGAAACAACTGTAAGTTGTGTAGAATGTACTACGTGCATGTGCCAACAGTGTAGCGATAAATAGAAAATGCATTCCGAATAGGGCTTAAAATGGCTACACCTATCTTTCAAATCGATTCCGATCGCTCGTGTGCGCGCCTTACCTGCGTCTAATTTTAGCTTCACGCGCACACAAGTTCAGATGTTTGCTTACGCCTCCCACTCCCTCTTATTTTCCTCCTTTCAAGTTAATATTAGGCTGCCTCACACTGATTGGCCATTCTGATTTTCTTCAAGAATAATTTGGTCTTTACAGCACCTTTATTGCAACTATTAACCGCCCTGTGCACGGAAAATCTGGTGTCATCCCAGAAGATAGTGGTTGCTTCGTGAACACACAATAATTGCAGGAATCGTGGAATAAAAGAGCGTGCACGAAAAAGAATTTCCTCCTAAACTGGTTGCGATGTGTCTTGTAAAAAGCCACGAACCAATGAAAACGAGCCTTCACTAGGATATTTTTAGCCCACACATCTCAAGGTCACCAATACGCAATAGAGCTCCTAACCTTGCTTTACATCACCTAATGGCCAATCAGAAGCCGTGCTTGTCTTTAGCCAGCGTGCGTGCTGTTTTCTTGTCTGTCGTCCACACACAAGCGGCTATTTGCAGCCCTGCGCTTATGTATATCTCTCACTTTAAGAGAACGGCTCACCGTGCGTGTAAAAGCTTCTCGCCCTTTCTACGTGCTTCAACGCATGTGTTCATGTAAACCATTTGCTGTACTAACCTGAAATGGACTACGAACTTGGTGTTATTTTAAAAATCACTCATGCAGGTTAACGAATCTAGCCGTTTTCACCAAGTTATACATCAACATAGGCAGAGAAAAACAAACTCTATTGAACGGATTCCGACAACGTTATGTCAGCAAACGGCCAGCAAATTCAAACCAGCATCTGCTCGACAGCCACTGTCATACAAACATTTCTCTCAAGAATGCGAACGCTCCTCCTCACTAAGTGAACTGGCTGCTCCAAAACAGAGTCAAGCCGAGGTGCTAGAAGCCGTCATTGGGACTTCAGGTCCAGCTGACAGCGATTCGGCCTCCAAAACCGCGGCCTCTTCATTGAAGACTGGTCACTCTATCTATGACCGTGTCGCTGCCGCTCTTAATCACTCCGAAGCTCTGCCTGCCCAAATTCTGGGGCTAACGCCCGATCATCGGAGGCATTCGGCCTTTGCATCTACTACCACAAATGTAAACACATCTGCAGATCATTTGAAGTCTACTTCCGGTTCAAGTCAGCTAAGCTCAGGATCTTCTTACTCTGGTTCTGTGGGTAAGCAGCAGACATCAGTCACATCAGTCGCACCAGCCACGCCATCTGGCAGTATCACTACAGGCACCACGACCACAGCGAAATCGCACGTTTCAACGCACGTGCGACAACGCCTCAAAGACTGTGTGCTTAATAAGAGGCGAAGTAAAGAGAGCGCGACCACAGGCTCGGGAGCAACTTCATTTATTTCCCCCTCTATGGATTTGGATGATGATCGAGGTCATACTGCAACTAGTGGTTCCATACACCGAGACTCCCATGCAGCTGATACTGAGTGTGGTTTTCCTCTAGGATACGGAATCTCGCCTATGATGTTCGCGGCAGGCCAATTTGTTGCTGGTCGACAATCCACCTTCCTCTCGGATTCTGGAAAACCGTTTGGCAATCTTCCGCCGTGGGTGTTCATGGCGTTGTCTGCAGGACAAGAATTACAGTCAAACATTGATGCTCCTATGGTGGCACCAAGAAACACTTCAGCAGTACTCCGCAAAACGCATTCAGAGCCTAGTCTCAAAATTCGGGGTAACAGCGGAGGACTGAAACACAGGTCCATTAGAAACGAGAAAAGAAATGTTAATCCTTTGGTTGTAGCTGCAGCCGTGGTGGGCTCAGCTTCATACTTCCCGATTCATACTCGTGGATCACGAAGTATTAGTGAGGCTGGAGATATTGGACAGTGTTTGGGGCTCCACAAAGCCTCTTCACGCCCCTTACCTGTGCTCCCTCAGCTCACACTTGAAAAGGACGAGAATCTAAAACACTCCAAAGAAAGTATGTGTATGCCAATGGATGTTGCTGGTGAGTCTGATGACCGACCAGGAGCCTCACAAATAAACTACAACACAAACGATGTGGATATGAGTGAAACTCAGGAGCCTGCTGCAGATTCACCTCAATTGGCTGAAGACACCGAAACAGTTCAGGAATTTATCTCCTCGCTCGCCGCTAGTCCAGGTGCAATGAGTGGAGGGTTATTAAAAGCTACTCAGAATTACCTGAACATTGTGCGTGAATATCTAAGACATGAAAAAGGTAAAAATAACTTGGGAAATAGTCCGAAGATTAACATGGACCAACAAATGAATTTGTCAGAAGATAATGCAGCTTTGGTTGAGGTTGGTAGAGATAGACAACAGCCCAATCAGGCACCTTATCGCCGATGCAGGCAGGTTTCCGGTCTTCTTAGTCGAACTCGTTCTGCTCCTATTCGATTAACAGGAAATATAGGTCGTGGAGCTCTTGGAGCTTCAGCCAGTTTTGAAAGCACGTCAGGAGGTAGTGTCAATGATGGAAGTGGATCCAGCGGAGGCCTGTTGCTGTCAGCCGCATCAGCGGTAGCAATGGAGGCAGCCACTTTGACATCAACAACTACCTTGAAATCTGCTAGCAAGTCTGCCACAAATTCTGGCTTACCTGATGACGAACAACGCAGCAAAATCATGCAACAGCTGCGGAAGAAACTACTTGAGAAGTAAGTCATTTTAAAACAAGATCATTCAATGCTACACATTGGTGGATTTTTTATTCTGTTAATCTGATGTAAATTATAGGTCGTCGTGTTTTAAAGGAACGCAAAGCTTAACGACTTATTATGCAATTATGTTCTTCATTTTACCTTGGTCTGTTTGCTCGTCAAACGGTGTTTTTGAATGGTTGCTATGTGCAAAGCAACTAAGCAAATCGCTTTAGGCGTAAATTTCAATTTTGCATCCATTAGACACCTACAAACTTGTTTATGATAAATTGAAATTCCCTTTGACTGACACAGGAATGTGAGAAATGTACCAAACAAAAAACACAATTTTAAATGTTTGTGTGGGTTGCATACTCAGCCCAGTTATCACAATCATTGTGTTAAGCCCTTTGATTGAGGTCCAGGATAGCCGAAGTATCTGTTTTTTATCTATTATCTACCTCTTTGGAAAACCTAAAATGGATGCTTATTCGATTGCAATCAAGCCCTCTTCACGAAGTGTCACTCTGTTTCCCACTTGTGTACTCCAACTAATTACAAAAAGCATTTTGTGCAAGCGGAAATGCTTTAAAAATTTTACTGGTTCAGCAGCTGAAAATGTACCGTAGAGGCTCCAATGGTTTGTTCCATTTGAATTTGCATTAAGGAAGATAGTAGCACAATACTGTCTCTTTTGTTCCGCGACAGCAATGCAGCCAAAATTCCGTTAGTAATTCTACGTGGAAAGAAACGCTTGTCGGCGAATTGTTGCGTGGATAATGTAAATTGCCCCAAGATTTCGATGTTGAAATCAGGAAGAGTAAATGTTACTTTAAGATAACTTTTTAATCAATCTTTGTGATCATTCACGCTTATTAATCTAGACGCGTACATGTTATTGTCCAAACTAGCAGGCGTAACCGGTTTCACCAGAAATGCAATGTGATGGGTTGGGAGACATTTCTGTTTGTATTACAGAAATGAATTACCAAGCAGTGACCGCTTGTCAGGTTCATCCACAAGTGTGAATCCTTGTGATTCACTATTTCCAAGAGGAAAACACAATCCCAGTCCGCTTCTGGAGAGAACCGCTTCAAGTCCTGTTGTCACACTGGCTAGACGTCCTACTACCGACATTGCCGCGGTAAGTCAATAGGTCTAAGTTTGCATAAACTGAGAAAAATTGATTTCCTCTATGACAAAGCACTTATTTTAGCTAAGCGATAGTAGTGACTCGTGTTGATTCATGTCCATTAACCCAGTCGCTGGAACTGCCCACACAATGCCCTCCATTTTCAGTGTCCGTCTTCTGCTCATACACCCCTATGCATGTCCCTCCCCGCTACAGGCTTCACCCATCTGGCCACGCAGCCATTTGTACTTTTACAAGTTCATCCTAACTGAATGGATCAGTAAGTACATCAAGCAAACGTAACTGTGACCACACACGTACTCGACACCACAACATTGTCTACTTCCCGCTGTATCGCGCAGCAACAAATTGGTGACCCCGAAGTGGTAATGGGCATAATTGAGCACCTAGGTCAGATTAACGTAAGAGCAAACTTCCAGCATAGCGTCTCAAATGAGGTACAAGGCTACCATCTCATGACGGGAATACAAAGCCTTTCCTTGTAGTAGGCATCAGGCGGATAGTGCTCCTGCAAAGCCCTTTGCAATCATCAGATTGGTAATTGGAATTCAATGCAATTCGAAAAATTACAAAGATAATGACTTTTCGACCAACTTTTTAGGTCATCTCTATAAACCTTCAAACTATGTAAAATGAATGAATATGCGTGTCCTTGTCACTTCCACAATCGTTTTCTGTTCCTGACTTCTTTAATCTTAACTGTGTGACAACACCGCTTGCAGCTGTTTAGTCTGATGTTGTTTCAAGGTAATTCCGGACATTTTTTTAAAATATATTTACGCACCCCAAAAAATGTCTAATTACCAATATAAAAAAAAAACATTTTACCAACTAGAGTTTAGTCACTCTTTGACCCACGGCCAAGTTCTTTCTTGCGCAGAACATCGTTTTTCCACTTTGGTGTCGCCTAGTTTGCCAGTTGGTGTCAAAACACAAAGAAGTGCAAATTCATGCTCATCTTACCTACCTACATTTGAGTTACATGAATTGCGATCAAGGGTGCAAATATAGAATTTATTGGCTATTAAGGATGTCACTTATTCTTCCTCCAATCTGCCGACCAATTCAAACAAGCACTGTGGTTCACTTTTACTGAGCTGAATGTTATTGTGTGAGAAATAAAGTGAACTCACAAAGCGGTGTCCCAGGCATAATCTCCTGCGGATCAACAGAATTACAGAGTTACTACAATTTCTGATTTTTCGTGCATAAAATGCATCCACAGTACTCCTGCTTACAACTATTTTTATGACAATTTAGTACCTGTCTTACTAATTCCCAATTCATTGGTAAACTCATGTACTGAATAGTAACTTTCTATTTTTAAAACTGAACGCATGATGGTTTATCAGCTTTTCATTGCCCAATGGACAATTAAGGTATCTGTATCAGTTTTAAACATTCTGTGTATTTGACCAAGGAAATCAGATTTCACTGAACGTTGGCTGAGAAACCGAAAGCCACTGACCCTGGATACCTTTCATTTCCATTAAATGAAGCAATTATTATTTGCTAACATACAATTCGGCTAAATAAGCTGCGATTCGAGGCTGATATTAAAGCAGGAAAGGTCTAATATTGAGCTCAAACAAAGCATCAACTAACTAGACACTCGATGGGTTTTCTTCTTATGGTCTTTGACATTCGGAACCGTAATATTTTAAACATGGTGTGTAATTTAGGTCATTTCTCCAAAATTATTACATGAAATTTTTGTTGGTTTATGGGAAAATGATACCTTTTATCAGCAACTTGGACTTATTTTTATACACTATCTTCACTTTGATCCCTTTGGTGGCAATAATATTTTCTTACCGCCCACAATTTGTCTCGTACATTAATGATGGAAGAACAATTTCAAAGTTCAGAATTAATTTGACACAAAAACGAATGCCTATTTTTGAAGTCACGTAATAATGTTATAAGCCCCTGTGCGTTGATAAAACCAAAAACGCCAAGACAATTTTAATTAAACCAAAAGCCATTGTCTGTTATCAGTGGTTATGACTATTTGTCTCCAAGCGTGAGTAGTTTCATGAATTTTGACCGATTCACCTAATTGGTCGATAGCTGATTCTTGTTTTCAAAAAAATCCATTTTTACTTTTTTTTCCACTGATACCTGAATTCGCCGTAGATTGGTGCCGATGGTGATACAAATGGGTATTAATTGCTTAGTTTATACTTAAATTAGCTCGGCAAGGCTATTTAACGTAACCAAAACCAGTGCCGTTGATCCAGGCCATAGACATAATGCGAAGATTATTTTCAAAAAAACTAGTTACTAGATTCGACGAAGATTATTTATTAATTGTGATCATATACTTCTTCAGATCCACTTTTCACACTTAGTAATTGAGGTTTTTCACATCTAAGTAAAAGTAACCGCTAACATTTCGTGGTTGATTCTCGAGCCAGGTGATTTTTTACGCTTCAGTGCTAGTTACAACTACTTCATAATTTGCAGAAACTCCAACCCATTTAAAAAAATGCTCACTCCATTTTACATTGTTTGGTGACAACACTTTGACAAATATTTGTTGTTTCCCTGCTCAAATTATTAAAGACCGCCTTTTTAAATTTTGTATAATTATTAATGTAGTTCTATGAAATTGGATCTCAAGCAAGCTTATAGAGTCTTTTTTCTAAATGCAGTAACCTTAATTTAGAATCGGTATTTTATTTATCTATTTGTAACTCAAACCAGACTCGCCTTTGGCTCCGAAGTAAATTGGCTCGCGTAAAGTTAAGGTCCAAATGTCTCCATAAATTCGAAGAAACGTAAGAAATTTTACTGTCACTAAAGCCGGATCTAAACCACATTGGATAACATACCAACAAATTTTGATTTAAAGACAAATTAACGAAATTGTTCATGCATTCTTAAAGAATCTAATCTAGTGGGCAGTTAAAAATGAAAATCCGGATAAAGTGGAAATTAGCTGAAGATAACCAGGTATTGATTTATTCTTGTGCTTTTCACAAAATAAAAGTAACAATTGCAGTTTTGCTTCTACTTTTTGTGTGCGGTCGAATTTTAAAATTTATATATATTTTTGCCCAGTTAAAATAGTATGACCTAATCCCTAAATGTCCTTGCCATTTACCAGAGCACAGCGTTCACTACGGTTCTGGCCTATGACGTCGGAATGCTAGCCCACAGGTGTACGTGTCAAATCGACGCAAACCATCCGGAAAATCCTTCGCGACTGGTCGCCATTTGGCAGCGGTTGCAGGTATGAACGGGAACAGTTATATGACAATTTTGCTCAGTTTAAACCTGTGGTACATAAAAAGATCTGTGGGTTTCATGAACGACGCCTAGATTTCTTCTCCAAGGACCTTAATCTTGAATTAAGTAAATTTTATTATTTCATGCTGCATAGACGTAATGCAAATAATATTTTATTTTTCCAAACAACATAAATTGAGATTAAATGTTAATTCTCTGGACAAAATGAATGCAAAAGGAGGTCGCTTTGGTCGGGTTTCGGCAGAACACATTTACAGTATGAAAACGGACTAACTTAGGCTGAATCCTTAGGATTATATTTCAAAAGGAAATATCTGTAGAATAAAATATAAATGTATCAAAAGGTGTTTTTAACTTAAATAAACAAAAGAGAATTCCATCATCATCATTAATCGGACCAAAGATGATAGAATGGCATTCATGCAATTTTGGCATTACCTTCTTGCCAAATCTATACCTGTGCATTTGTGATTTTCCTCAGACTAGATATCCACATTTAACGTGAGTCATTTTTGTGTTTCGTTTCTGGAGGACACTTTTAATCTTTTCTGTATTCCCTTGCAGCGTGTAAATCTTAAAACGGTTAAATCAGACTCAGTTTTTTGACGACTTACCGTCTTTTTCAAGTAGACAAAGGAGTTACTTCAGTGGAATGAGTCATCTGAAGCAAAAATTCGCAGTAATTTTTACTGTGCCTGCCTTTTAATGAAGTTTCGCATAGCAGCCCGTCTGAAGTTAACACGTTTTAACTCGGAAATGCTTTTTGTCAAGTTGTCGAAGCATTTCCAAAACATTGCCTTAAGATTAGTTTGAGGAAAGTATTTTCAGGCTGCTTAAAATGGCATGACATTGATTTGTGCAGGACGTCTGGACCACGGATTCAAAAAAACGCAATTTTATTGATCTTTTGTTGACACATTTTCAGAGTTTAGTTATGGTTTTTCCGTAAACATCTGGCCATAGTGCATATGCTTAAAATGTTCAGAAGTTAGAAAGAGCACCCCAAGTTGACCTAAAAAGTAGGTAACCTTGAAAATGAATGCATACTTTGACCAATGATTTTATACCTTTGAGACCTCACTTCCTAGGGGCTAGATGCATGAGTCACGGTTAAACACTGTTGTCGATGAGGGAGCCAGTAGATCACATTTGCCATGCCTGTGTGCACGTTGACGAATAAAATTTTAGTTAAAAATATGATAGCATCCTCATAATGTTTTTAATTTGTAATTAACTTACTTATAGCAGCTTGATACTTGTGTAATTAGGAAAATAAGGTCAAATATTAATTGAATTAAGACGTCGCATTTTCTCTATTCATCTGTAGCAATATTAAGGACACTAAACTTAAACAACTCGCTAAAAGCTGATTAATTCCAATCTTCGAACTCGAAGTAGTTAAATAAATTTTAAGGATCCCACAAAATTGAAGCAAAGCGTTTAAAAGTCTTTTGGTTAAATCTTAGTGTAATTTTTTGCTAAGTAAATTACGATTCATAACCCTCCTTGACAATCATATTTTTCATCTTGGATACCAAAGGTACTTATAAAATATGTTTTGGTAAGCGTAAATCTATTTGCTGGAAAACATTGTGTCTTCGACAAATTAATGTAAGGGTAAGACACCTAATTGAACAATAAACCGACATTGAAGACCACTTTCAAAAATTACACATCGTCCTGATATTATTTTAATAGTCTACAGGGGAAGCAAAATAAACTGCAAAGTTATAATTTTCTTTCATTTTTAAGTATAATTGAGGCCAGAATTACACTTTTTGATCGCAATTAAAAGTGTAAGCGCATTTTTATAAATGTCAACATTGAGACATTTATCAAAGGAGCAAATAGATGTAAATTTGGCCTAAATCAATATACTAAATAAACTCTTGCGTTTCATCAATTTTAGCAAAATGGCATTAATTTTCAGATTAGGTAATAGTTTTTCCATAAACGAGTTAAGTGTGTTATCGTGGTTAATTTTTCTAAGAAAACTCCATTCTTTTACTACTTGGTGAACTTGTGTCAATCAGAATTCGAATCAGAAAATTGCATTCGAGAAGCGACGCCGCCAGACAATGTCCTCCAGAGAAAATGTACGGTTGGCTAACAAACTCAGATTGGTTGACTACCTTTTAATTTTTACGCCAATTTCTATCATTTATTAACTGATATTCCTAATCGTTTCAAACTATCGGCATTTGTTCATGGTACATTCTGGATTATGCTGTTCCTCCTACATACTGACTAAAAATATAGCATCGATGAGGATCTTCTCCTTGTTTTTCTGTCGCCCATTTGAGGCTTCAAGCATTATTTATGTTAATGAAACTATTACTGGAGTTGTGGCCGCACTACCTACGTCTGGTCTGGATGTTTCGAGAGTGAAATCACGTGGCCAATTCAAAATAATGGGGTAATTTTCTATTCACTCAATTTAATAACAGTCTTTTGCTCACAACCTACTAATTAATGTCTAGAATATGTGAAAATTCTCAGGGCATAACTTTGAATGCTGCACAAATGCCAAACGCTTCTGTACTTCTGGTTTAAATGCCTCATTTTCTGGCCAGTAAATAGAATGTTAATAGCACATAAAAAAACACAATAGGTAAAGATTTATACTTTTTTATGTCTACTGATATTTTTACATTTGCCAACTAGTTTAAATAAGACTCTATCGTAAATTTTTTTGCCAGAAAACTTACTTAGTATCGATTCACAAAAATTGTGATTTAGCTACACACTATTGATGGATAAGATGCGTAAAACCTTTCTAATCTAATCTGAATTATCGAAATTTGCAGTAAAAACTCCAACAATAAATGTTTGCATATAAACCTTATCCAGTGCATTTTTGGGTAACACGACATCCTAATTGTAAGCGATCGAGCTACGAATTTAGGAGATTACGGTTAGGTAGCGCAGGGCACCACTAGGGTTCTGATTCGAATATCAATTTAATAGAATATTTTAGTCTTGTTTTCACCAGCCACAATTCCACAACTTGAGTGTAAAACATGTTTTGTGAGCTGATTCAAGGTAATTTTATCGTTGTTTGTTAATATCTCGCACACAAGTAAAAATGTGATTTTGCGTTGTTTTCATTATTGCAACAAACACATAAAAGGGCTCATTTAGAGAAATATCAGATTAAATAAGACATTTGCTGCTTATGCCAAATTTAGTGTTAACATTACGTTTCCACAGTTTCGTTAGGGAACTAATAATGCACTACTTTTAGTACATCAATTATGTGAAAGAAATAACCCAATAAATTGGCCACAGAGCAAATCGCTTATTGCTATATCCCTCAAGTATTTGATGGGAGTCGACTTCTCTCGCCGTTGGAAACATGAGGACTCTTGCGAACGGCTAACAATCTATGAGCATTGGCTTAGCCTGAATGGATCCTTCAGGGGCAGCACCAACGAAGACACAACCTGTGTTGGTCACTTGATTTGAGCGATTTCTTCTTTCTGAGTGGAATTTTAACCTGCAGTGAAAAACATGGCGTCTTCGTGGGCCTAAAGTTCTCTGGACTTGAGGTTAACAGTTGAGAACACCTTGTACACACATCGAAACCAGCTTTGCACGATCAGTGGATTGCGTGCGACCTGAATGCTCCGACAGGGCATCGAGAAAGTGTGGAATCGTTAAGATTTTGTGCGAACGTAATCTGTCATGTGCAACAGACATGGGCGTTTTCTCCTTCATGAGGTCACGGAACTTCCTTTGACGTAGGTAATTTTGCGAATGCCAAACGACCTGAACTAAGGTTTTTTTGTGCTGCTGCAGTTTTGTCGATTGTTGTGGGGTTTCAATTGGCCTTATAAAACAGAGCAGGACATGTGACTTTTAGACGCATGTTTTCCAGAGCCCTATTGGACTGGATTTCATGCATGATAAATCCAAACACTTAAATCACTTCTTGGCACCAAGCGATCCAGCCCTCAAATTTCAGAAGACGCAAAATCTGGATTTTGCTGAGAATGTATTTACTGTGCAAAGCATTGAGAAAAAAATTGGATAAAATAAAGCCTTTACTGGAACTCAGTGCTATCAGACAAATTGAATTAGTGTCTTGTAAAGCTTTCATAATATGTGGAATCACCAATGGTAGTCAAGCATTCATCAACCCCTGAATTCTCCAAATCTTAAAATCTGGCAACACTAGATTTTAAATTGACTTGGTGGTTATTTTAAAGAGTATGTGGTTGTCCTATTTCTTCGAACAGGTGCTTTTGGGAAACCGTGAAAATTCGCTTTCTGAATGAGTAATGCGGATGGAGCTAGTCGATTCACCTCATTAAGGCAGGTTCGTTTATTGACAAAATCTGAAATGGCGTCATATACGAAGCTTGCAATTTCGAGGTTGTGGGGGCGTTTTTAAACACCATAACATTTGCAGGTTACCACAAAAGATAATATCCTCTGTAGTTAGAATCACCTTGACTGTTTTGTGCATGAATTTCGGCGTGCACCATGTGAAAATAAGCAGAGTGGATGTGTCTTGCATGTCATTACTTACGTAATTTAAGAAGTCTTCTCCTATCCGCTAAGTGACGTAAGCATTATCTAAGCATTACCATAGTTGTTACTTTATGTGACGGTAGTTACTGTGGCATCCAGTGGTACTTACTCTATAATCATAGCCCCATTGTTTAAACCTGTGTCAATTTACATGAAACTGCTCGACCTCATCTTTTCTCAAATATTTACATTTTCACACAATTTTGATGCATTCCAATGAAATAAAAATGTGGTTTTAAAAATCAGCTTGCCAAAAGGTTATTCAGTCACCTTTGGACCGCCGAAGTGGACCGCCAGTCTATCCTTAGCTTAATGCTATTTAAGGATTTGTGCGCATACTCAACTGGGCCCAAGTTATGGCTTTATGAAGTTTGTTATTATTTTATACTTTATCTTTAATATATTATTATCCATAAGTCAACCTCACTTTAAATGGGTTATTCCTTGGTAATATTCATAAACATATTACCATGACTTATCCTCGTGGAATATTCTGCCGGAGTATCTTATGGAGGGGTGAAGAGCATCCTCGGAAATAAACATGTTAATGATTTCGACAGCATGATGAAAATCCCCAAAAATGCTATAATACAATATAGGTGTTAGACTTCGGGAAACGTTTACGTATCTCTTGGATGATATCAGGTTAGTGCAGAAGCAATGTTGAGTTACAAGATTTTTACTTTCAATAAAGGAAGCCATGCTTCAGAAATAAAAATATTTGTAAGCTTTATCTTTGTTCAAATTAGTACAAATTATTAATGGGACATCGGATTAACTAATAAAAGTTTTTATTAATGCTATTTAGACGTGTCCTTTGCACGAAAGTGAAATTATAGAACTCGAATAAAAATGCTTCCTTAAGTCCAAAATATTTTTGCACCTATCCACCCACTCAAGCCCTTTCAAGTGTATAAAAATCGTGTGGCCTGCTGCCTTCTCAATATTCATTGCAATTTTAGTCGTCGGGTCTTGCAGCAGAATGTCAACATCAACCTGGGCGTCGAGCAGCGCTGACGGAACTCCAGTTAGCGCATCGAGATGTGTACACTGTACTTTTTGGGAGCAACCCGGCGAGTCGATCTAGAATCGACCCTTCACTTTTGGCCACCGTTCGACTTTGTCGACTCCCCTGTGGGGGCATCGGAGTGGACTCAGACACCGCTTGGCACACTGCCGGCCACACCGCACACGCAGCTCGTCTCGCCGCAGGCTGCGTCATAGACCTCGCCTGTCGCATTATTCTGCGTCAGGTACCCAATGGTTTCGCTTTAGTTCGACCCCCTGGACACCATGCTGAGCCCGGACAGGCGATGGGATTCTGCTACTTTAATTCCGTCGCCGTGGCTGCAAGACGTACGCAACTCCTCCGCGCTATGCTTCCCTTTGATGATAGTGGGTGTCTAGGGCCAAATCCTTTAGGATTCCCAACATCGACATCGTACGGCACCTTAGCTCTTCCTAATCTTGAAAAGTCCAGGATAATGGATAAGACGGGCGAGCATCCAAATATTACGAAAATTATGATAATTGACTGGGATGTACATCATGGAAATGGTACGCACACTGTGTTTTACTCTGACCCGACAGTTCTCTACATATCTCTACACCGCTATGACGATGGCGCATTTTTTCCCGGCACTGGGGCACTGGAAGAAGTTGGTGGAGGGATGGGGGTGGGCTTTACGATCAATATTGCCTGGCCAAGTGGAATCACAATGGGTGATGCCGAGTACCTGGCGGCCTTCAGGCATATAGTTCTCCCCGTGGCTCGGGAGTTTGGGCCTGAGATGATTCTTGTCTCCTGTGGATTCGATGCTGCTCCAGGCCATCCAGCAAATTTAGGTGGATATAACGTGAGTCCAGCAGCATTCGGATGGATGACACGACTACTGACGAATCAAGAGATTGCGGGTGGACGCGTGGCTCTTTGTTTAGAGGGTGGATATGAATTGAACAGTCTCTGTGACTGTACTGAAGCCTGTGTGCGCGCACTGTTGCGATCAACTTATGAAAGATCGTCCGGTCTCCAAGATGCTCCTCTTTTGTACCGTCTTCCTGAGGCAGAACGGACTCGGCAACCTCATCCTGCGGCAATGGAGACACTGAAAAAGGTAGCACAGGTCCACACCCCGTACTGGAAATGTCTTTCAACTGTCAAATTCGGTGAAGCGCCAGCTGAGACTTGGCTTCCAGGAGGAGAAGAGGAAGAACGTGCTCCCCTTTCTGGAGTAGGAAAGGTTGGATCGGTTAACGAGACTGACCAGCGTAGACGGTCGTCGTGGAAACTCGACGGGAAAAATAAGCCTAGCTCCTGGCCTGAAACGGAGCTGGTTTTAAATACTAGCATCAGCGGTTATCAGCAGACAAACCCACGTAAGTTTGTGAAACAGGCCTGCTTGGAGGAGGATGACTATAGCAACGCAATAGAGAATACACCGTTGGACATGACAGCAAAATCGATGAACTACCCTTCTCACGAGACGAAGATAAAACAGGCCCTCAATCCAGAAGCTTGTGTACGTGAAAACCACGGAGAATCTACTGACCCAATCACAGCTGCTGCGCTGGCCGGACTAGCTGATCTTCACGTAACTCCACAGACTACAAAAAATCTGTGAAGTGTCAAATCTTACGGATGAGTTGTTGTCCCAATTAACGCCGTTGTTAGCATTTTTTGTTGCTCTGTCTCGGTTTCATGATACTCCCAACGTACTTGTATATAGCCATTTGGCATGTTTTTGCTCCTGACAAATCCTTACCTTTTTTTCAAGTCCTCTATGCCTCCGATCGCCATTCCACGCACAGAATCCTGCGAACAAACTGTTCTGTTGATGGATGCGTTTTACTATTTGATAGAAACCGCCGACCAGTATTTACATGAGCACCAACACACACAACCACACACGATCACTGCGTTTCTTCATCGTGCGAACCCTCCTGCTGCTTTGGTAAACACGAATACCACAATCCTGCGACTTGATCATCGTTGAGAAGATTTATTCCTTATTTTTTTGGTAACCTGCCCTATTTTACATTCCATCCCTTTCTTGCTTGTTTTTCTACTCAATTCAAGACTGGCAAGTAAACATCGGTAAGAATAGTGCCAGTTTGATAAACAATATTATTAAAAAGGCTAAATATAAGAGGGAGCGAACTTCTCCATGTTTATCTGCAAATGAAGAAACGGAGTTCCATGAGGTGATAGGAGGTTTCATATATGGGATTGCTTTTACCAGTGCACTCAAATGGCCACGACCGCCCGCAAGATGCCAAAGAGAGCCTTGACGCATAATTGTGTGAACATTCCACTTTCGTTCTGACAAGTATGTCATCTCCTTATAAACTTGGAAAGAATTTTTAACAGCATTTAGAATGCATACAATGTAGGCAATCATTTGTAAAACAGCGAGAATGGCGAAAAATAGCACGAAAAGAGTTTATTTTGGCTTACCGTTGCTAGTTTAGATTCTATATTAATGTGACGCGCAATACGGACGTTCTCAAAATCCACTTGCTATTTCCCCTCCCTAAAGAAAATAAAACCCTTGAGGTCCGCAGCTACTTGAAAAGCCTTTTGTGCTGGAGACCTTAAACTCAGTGTTAAGCAACGTTCCGTTGGTCCACTAAAGCTGTTGATGTCCAAGCCAAGGGCCTAGATCGTCGAACAACTGTGCGCGAAATCACAAATTGTTAACCAAATCACATGCACAACAACTAGAAAACCAATTTAAATGTCTTGGGTCCATTAAAAAGCTCAGTGTCATTAGTTGTGGTTTGCATCTCCAAGGCAATGAAACCGTCTCCTTTTTAAGAATGTTCATAACTCGTGATTAGGGGTTGAATGTTGATAATAACGTCAATCGGAAACTATCATTATGCAGGCGTGGGTAGCCAGCGTACACCTCATTAATTGTTGCTAAAGTTTATCAAAAAGAACTGGATTTGAATTAACATATCACCAAGTAGGTGTGTTGCACAGAAACAATGCAAAGCATCCCACACTGATGGTAACTCATGGAAAGTAGTTTTGAAATGTGATTTCTGGACGCGTACACTCCTGGACATCAGTCATTAAATTATTATTTCCTAATTTAGAATACTTTGCATGTAAAGTCCTTCACTGATGATGATGAACTGAAGCCTCACACGGGTCAGTTGTTTGATGGCAGCGAACATAAAGTACGTGAATGCGAGAACATGAAATCATCAATACTATGGTAAACGTTTGTTGGACAAAACAGGTGCTATATGATTAACTGAGCTTCGTTTTTGAACCCGGATAAATTTCTACGAGGTGCTACCGCTTGTAGGCATTTGAAGACTTCTACTTTTTTCTTCATTTTAAATTGAGGAGACTCATTTGTAGTCCATAACGTTGGCATCGATCTTCCACTGTGTCAAAAGTGATCTCCGTTCTACAGACAATATTTGCCTTGCAGATCCATCGACATTTTTGTCGTTAAAAGTGCTACCAATAGTCACAAAGAAATCTATTGGGTTAGTTCGCTTCCCCGATCGAAAGTGATTTTGATTCCTTTTTTAGTAAGGAGAAAAAGATCTCCTCAACGAACTGTTTGGTCCCCTGGGAATTGTGTAAGCAGACCCTTTCGCATGTTTTGCACAAACCTTGACAGGTATATTGAGATTAATCATCGATAAGCCTAAGTTTTGGCTTTTCTTCGTAGATCCACTGTCTGATTGCAATTTTAAAAAAGGCGACAGGCAATTTTGTTGTAACACCTATGCCAAACCATGAATGTACAACACAACTCCGAAGCTGGTCCATGAAAGATTCTGAAGTTTTCAGTCACATTACTTCCTCCCTTCTGATGGCAACATAGTCTCAATTGGTGTGCACGTATACTCACGAAAGCGAGCCCAAGATCCATACCACAGTTTGTTCTCATTAAGGACCCAGTTAAAGCAACCATAAAGCAACTTATTTTTGGCTCTTCCCTTAGTCCGTACATTAATTTGACCAACCAGCAGCCTGCCTTCACATCTATTGATGTTAAGCATTAGTCCAGTTCCCGGGAAACTTAATTTATACCATTCCCAAACCCGCCTGCGAGGCGTTCCTCAACACACTGCCTTTTTGTGGTGCTGAGAAAATAGCTGAGATTGCGAAGCATTTCTGAACATATTGATATCAAGTGCTTCTCATCAGCGTTAACTTCACTCAACTTTAGCAATACCAATGTTGTTGCATTTTAGGCATTATCTATAGCTGTTTATCCATTCACAACTGCACACACACGAAATGCAGAATGAGAATATTGCGAATTCCCTAAGCTGCGTCCAATAGAGAAAAAAAACATTTCCGGCTGGACTTTGCGTATATGCTGCCGTATTGGAACAAGTCGATACCACACATAGGAAGTATAGCAGCTTTCAAAATACTTTAAACAGTGGTGTCGCTGATAGGTCACGTCAGACCTTTGAATTAGAATGGAGTTAGAGCTGGCACATGATAGCAAGGTTAGACAGATAAAGGACCTATTAATCAAATTGCTTCCTAATTAGGGTTTGACAGACCCACTTTGTCGGTTTTTAATATGCGTAAAAGGCCTACAACGCTAAAACATTTACGCTGTTGATTTGTCTGTGGAAAACAAAAGGTCGGAATAGTCAGCACTGCGCAAAAACGAATCTGACGTGAAATAGGGTGAGACGACACCGGATTTGGCTTCCTGGGTGTTTCAATCAGCATGAAATCCGGTTCATTCAGATACTCATACCAAAATCAGATATTAGATGAGAATTGAGTAGCTGTAATCCCTTTAACCTATACAGTAAATCAATTGGATGTACCTAAGCTACTCAGGGTTTGTATAACTGAGTTACTGGTCAGTAAATGTACAATTGCTTTTACAAGCCACTGAACATTACCATCCAACCTAGTTGATATTATAATGGCAGCGGAGGTGATCCTAACAGACAACCTTCCATAAGATGTTTGCGACTAGAGACGCACTATTAAATCTTTTATTTGAACATGGCTAGCTTATTCAATGATGTTTAATCTTCGAATCCAACGAGTACTGGCAAAAAACACTATGGAACAACGCACAATTACCAAAAAATATTCTCGAGACAATGACAATTTTGAGCACCATCCGCAAGTATGCTTAGCATTCAAGAATTACCAAATCCGGTTCCTACTTTTAACGATAAGCTAACCGGAGACATCTACTATTCAGCACTTAAATTCAAAAGGGTTTGCACTGAGTCTCTGTTAATCTATTGCACCAAATAAACTAACCAAGGAAATTTGACGATGATGAATAATCAATGTTCAAGCATACGTGGTGTCACTACGTAAAATCAGAACTAGTTTACTGCCCATCTAACAGCCAATGACAGCCATGATTGTTATGCATTGAATAATGATTTAAATAGTTTTAATGTGCCTCATAAAACAATATATACTGGGCATTACAACGTGCTAAAACAATAAGAGTGTCTGATGTACCTAGTAAGGAAGCAAGCCTGAAACATTAAATTTTACACCGAAGATACATCATAGCCCACAGAGGAGGCCTCGAGTCATCGCTGAATTTAAAGGCAGGCGGCAAGAGCTGGGTTTAGCTACAATCATCACGGATCATTTCGTAAAGCATTTAAACAATTGTGCTGATAACTCCCACAACGAAGTTCGACGATTACGTGTCCCTTTAATCGAATAGATTGGATAAGTGAAATCAGCATAGAGCTAATTCATAAATTTTTGTCGAGCACAGCACTAGCATAGGCATAGTTAAGGATATAACTGTGAACCATATTATATAAAAAAATATTTGCAATGATGAACTCTAGGATTTACATCAGTTATTCTGAGTACGTGGCAATCCTAGGTCACAAACTTAGTACGAAACCGTATAAATTGATATAAATTAGAATCCACTTTTTAACATACTATTTCGGTCAGATCGATCAAAGACAGAAAGGAATCACGCATGATTGACTTTCAAAAATATTCACAAAAAATAACAAACAATATGTAGCTACGAAAAAAATATGCAAATGGAAAAAACCGAACACCTATTTCAATCCAAATGCGCTAAAATGAAGAGGTTTTAGGGATTTGAACAATAGCTGTCAAGTTGGCCAGCGCTTCCTGATTTGTTGATGCTTTTGAAAGACGTCTAAAATTAGATCACTTTACCCGGAAAGGTCACACCTGTCAATTTCTGATAGATTGCATCGTAATTCATTCACTTCTGTGGCAGTAATAGCATACTTTAATAGCCATTTTCCAGTATCTGGTAATTCCAGGTATAACTCATGACTAACCAATTTCAATCGACTCGATATCAAGTAGTATTTGAGTCATTTGATGAAGTAACAGACTAGTTTTTGCACGCAATCTGTGTAGCTTACAATTTTGAAACACGTAGTCTGCCTTTGCTTAAATTCTGTGATAAAAAAATATGACACAAACCTGTGTGAAGCTCCTCCTAAAAAATAGACCATCAAACCAAAAGCACGAAATTACTTCCACAAATCTAAGCTTTCGTTTAAAAAATCGTAGTGAATCAAAACCGATCCTATTATCGTGGAATTGTTTTAAAAACTCCGGCAACTTTTTCAGGCGCTCAGGACTATAAGAACCCATGGGGAAAACTCGCGGGCCACAACTTTGGTGATAAAACAAGTATATTCAAACAAACGTTTTAATTATCCTAGTGGGTAAATCATAGAGGTGCTCAAAGGCTCCAATGCTTCAAAATAAGCCGATTAAGACAGCCATCGATATCTTAGGTAACAAATAAAGTAACGCACATGATACCTATTAGTTTATATATACTATAATTTTAGTTGAACGCAAAAACCACGCACACATTTTAAGGCAATTACCGTCAACGGTATTAAACGAATAAACAGAATTCCAACTCTGTAACTAGTAGCATGTTTTGAAACACGTAGAAGGTAACTGAAGGTATGCAGATGGGATATTCTATTAGATTATACGACCAAATGGCAATAAGAGGTAGCATGCAAAGAAGTTTCAGAGTTTCAAAGAGATTGGCAAAAATTTGCGTGCTGCATTATGCATTCTATCTAAATCTCTTACATCAGTCTTATATTTCTCAAAATAGTAACGTACGGACTGATGGCGGCTCTAAGTGGAGATTGCAATTTCAGGCTGACAAAGAAAAATGGGTACCTCAAAAGAAATGGTACAGCGTATACTACTCAATTCGGCATTTCATTTAAGAAAATTATGTGAGAAACACGCAAAAGAAGTAGTTAAAAGTAGAATGTAAAATTGTTCCACGAACTGCGTTTGGGAAGCAAAATGCGCAGAATGACACATGGTTGATAGTATATGCAGAAATAATGGGCGATAGATGAGCAAAGCGTCATGAACGAAGCATTTTCACAGGCTTTGTACTGTAACGCAAGTCATCAACTCTGATTCAATCATTTTGTTGATGCATCAATATTCCCTTAGGCAGTATTCCTGAAAAAAGTGGCAACATTCCGATTTATTCAAATTTTGAATGTTCACCATGCTGCCATAGAAAAGTTAGACCTACTAAATGTTTTTATGAAATTTAAAATTGGACTAAAATAAATTTCAAGATGAACATGCGGTAACAATGCAGGAAATTATTTGTCTTCAAAATACTAACTGTGTGACAAATGCGCTGAATATTCGAGCCGTTTATATTTTAAGAAACTCAATATGCATTAAGTATCAAAATTCAAAATGCCATGCTACGGAAAAAAGCGTTGAAAAGTAAATTTCTAGACAAATATGTTGTGATATAGATTTTTGAATTAGAAAAGAGGTTTAAACTTTTTAAGGAGCAAGTTTTACAACTTCAAATGCAAACTTGTTTACATTTGATATTTCATGTGGAAACATTTTAAAAAAATCGAGCTTCCTTTAAACCCGATTTCGATTAATCTTACATACCTTGGTTCATTTTTAACGGAACAAAAATAAAATTCCTAATGTTCATTTTCGCCGAAAAATTGTGTCTTTTATGGATTGCCTAATTCTACCAATCATTTGATTTGCATGAAATATTGGGATAAAATTATGATCGACAAATGCATGAGTCATTTAAACTTTCTTAAACGTAGACCTTGTTCATTCACAAATGTTTTTTAAGTAACGTTCATTAGTAGTCCATTTTCAAAAGTTTTCTGGCCTTTTGAATTTTCGATAGCAAATTTTTAAAAATGTTAAAAGTGTTTTGTTTCCATTAAGTCTGGATTTAAACCTAACAACAGTTTTCTTGCGTCTTCTACAGCTATATTGGAGAATGTTGTCTTTTGGTTCTTAATCTCGTATTTTTCTCACAAAACCATTAGTCCTCTAAATTTTATAAGAATATTATTTCCTACGAACAGAGTTTGTACAGTTTTATTTAAGAATTCTGTAAAACAAACTAATCTGTTCTAAATCAGAGACATCTGCAGCCTCATCACTGCAACTTTAACAAATGCGGATTGTTTGAATGTGTTACCAGCGGTGTTTTGAAAGATGGATGTTATTTCACGAATTGAGATTTTTGTTTTGGAATTACTGGCAGAATTGATGAATCGTGGTGGCCTTAAGCATACAAGTGAAAAATATGTGGTTTTAAAAAAGATGCGGTTTCCTTTTGCCCAAGTCAAAAATTACAGTATGCGTTTTATTATAGATAAATCGCATTTTTTAGCACAAATATCCCTTTTCCTTTCTATTGTCTACAAGGCACTTAAAAGTGGCACATATGTAACAAAAAGGTTTTTTGTTTTTTTTTAATTTGTAAGAGCCATCTTTTATGAAAACCCACGAGTGTTTCTCAACCAATGTGCTATTGATAGACTAATATCTCGTCTATGCAAGCATCTGGAATTAAGCAGGCTCGAAATGAACACCGTAAGCTGCTTTCTACTTACCCTTTTTAGGTTGCAACGTCTAAATCAATCGTATTTGGCGATGCATGGCTACGCGGGAGAGCAAACGAGATTTTGTCATTCAAAATGTCTGGAGAGGTACACAAAGGCGCATATCACTATTTTTTTATTCTGTAACACTTAACGTAAAGTAATGGGCCTTTTAGGGTGTTAGTTTGCCTGATTCATCGAAAAATGATAGTTCTGGTTTGTCAATTCTTAATGTTCCAACTCAAGGCAAGACTTGACATGCAATGCTAGGTTTGTACTTGTTATTGAGAAGGACGCAACGCTACAAAAGGTCATGGCGAGCAAATTCTACAAAGAATTCCAACCCTGTCTTCTAATAACTGTAAGTCAAGGCTAATCTGTTTTATCGATCACTTAGTCAAAGGGATATCCTGACCTGTCAACTAGATTATTCTTAAGTAAGCTTAACCAAAAATATCCCACATTGCCAATATTTGCGTTGGTAGACGCGGACCCACACGGTAGACTTGGTTGGTCCTTTTACAAGTTTATTTAGGCATTGGGATATACCTCACCTACAAATATGGATCGGATGTAAGTACTTAAAATTTATTTTCATAACTTGATAAATTTAGAACCCTGCCATGAAAACATCCACAGGCGTTGTAAATGAAGTTTCATCACTGAAACTATTAGGAGTCCTACCTTCCGACTTGTCTATGTAATTTTTCTCAAGTTAATTGTTTTTTATCGCAGGCTTCAAATTAAGTCACAAGAACTCTTACAATTAACCGACATGGATAAGTCTATCCTCAGCGGTATCAAACGAAGAAGCTACTATAAACTAGAGAAAGGCTTACAGGACGAGGTATGTAGCATGCCCTTCATAAAGCTTAATTACATTCAGATCTCATTAATGGAAGTCATGAAGAAAAAGGCAGAAATTCAATGCCTTGAAAACTTGGGTCTAGACTTCCTTTGTTCAGAATATCTTCCACGGAAGCTCCAACAAGAGGGAATAATTTCGAATAGATGTTCAAAGTTGAAATCGTCAACAGCTTTTTTTAGGACGTGAAGAATTTGACCATCCTGTTTCGTGTACAAGACTAAACTATATTCAACAAAAATACTTTCACGAAACATTAAAAAGATTGTCCTTGATTAGCTGTCCAACAAGTGCATTCATTTGTTCCATTGCCATTTTGGTCGCATCTTTGCTGCACTTGGCCAATTTATCCTGAAGTCGTCCTTGATCGGAACCCATTCGATTAACCTAAGTAATTAAAAATGAATTGATGAATATATTATCTTTAAGTAAAGTAGAATAAAGGTGATTTGGCACTTACAGAGGACGCAGCGTTTTCAACTTTTTCAGCGAGATCTTTGGTCATATCAGTCAAGTGGTTTGACTGAGCAAGAATACTGGCAGAACTTAGGGTGTTTACCCAATATTTGTTCCATAATAAATTGATTATGTATTTCTCCAGTGTCGACTTGAAATAACTCACTTCAAGGGAATAGTAGCGCTTGCAATGGACACCAAAATCCTCAATTTTATCCATGGGTATGGACTGATATTCAGAAGGCCCTTCGTCCGGAGGCTTATAGCCCTCGGGGTAAGTGCGGAAAGCACCCAGGTTGACTATAGTGGAAATTTTGAACAAAACCATAACTTCAATTCTACTTGACGTTGCTCATTTAATCAAATAACTATGAAATTTCATCTACAAGACATTATTTGGCCACATTAGCGAAAGGGGGAAGTACAGATGCTCGGGTAACACACTGTGCAACACCGATAGTCCGTTAATGACACTTAGTTGTGCCTTACACTTTTTTTATTATTCAAGGCCTTTTACTCAAATCTACATTAAAATCCTAACCCATTTAACAGTTTTTTTTGAATTTTGGATACATTATATCGGGTTTGATCTCTTGATAATGTAAAATGAAACTACGGTAAGACTAAGACTCCCGTAATTTTATGAAATTTAGTATTTTAAGGTAAACATTAAACTCACGCGGTAGCTGAGGAAATTCTTTGGGATCGCATCACTTACCTTTCCCATACGAGGTCGTTCTAGTTGGATCGACAACAATGGCAACAAAGGGCTCCTGAAAAGTTTGGTTCAATAGCTGCGTACTCACATCAATGCCGGATAACCAACATCCGTAGCCGGGATGGGAATGGTACCAGCCGAGCACGTTTTCGGGGCGACCCACCTCCGAAAGCATTTCCTTATACGTTGTCATGTACTCATAGGCTTCAGCCTAATAAGAGGGAGAAGTCGTCACCATAACGTTCATTACCACTCTGTACTAGATTGAGTGTTCACTATTTAATGATGCTCAACGTTCTAGAACGCTGTTATCGGAGTAAAAGCCTTCTCCTTAAAAAACGGTAGTTGGTTTTCCAACATAGCGAACACTTTTCAACACTACAATTTTGGCTTACGCTGGCTGCCATTGAAAAAAAAGATCTCAATATGTAGATACCACATATTATTATTCGCTCACGACGAAAGCCTACGGATCTTCGAATCTTATAAGTCCAAGTGCAGTTTGTTTTGCTAAACTAAGTTATTTGAGAAAACTTAATCCGGTTTCAGGCCGTAAAGGTATAATAAAGTGGATTACCTGCGCATTGACGCGAGTTTCAGTTCCCTCGACAGGCAAAGGCGAACAATCCACAACAATCATGGTCTCGTGTGCAACCTTTCCGATGAGCATACCCATAACCTAGATAAGGGAAAAAGTGGTTGTGCATTAGTGTTATAAAACTAAACAATCAACTGTTACAAATTAAGAACCTTAAACCATATAGATTGATGCACGGATTCTAAATCCGCTACTAGATCGTAAAATTTACGATAACTCATATTACAACATTTTGATTATTGCTGCTTGGGTAACATGGAGCACAACTTATCAAGAAAAATAGACTTGAGACTCGTTAGTTATTAAGCCACAAGACCAGGTCATTTTCTTGTTTCGATGTGTTTGTATATGCCTAGCAGCCTAGATGTCAATAGAGCAGGCCAGTGAATAAAGAGTATACACATGGCACCCTAATTTTAGGTCAGAAAATATTCACAAGTATTCTGAAAACACGTCATGCGAGTTCAGCGTATGTACACAACCGATTGCAGTCCTACCTCGTAGATCCCGCCAGACTGGGCATGAATAAGCATTTTGAGCAGCGCAATGGCCGAAATCTTAACCGATTTGAAGTAGTGTGGGTCCTTTACCCAGGGTTTTGCGTTAACTATGGATTGGTGTACTTCCACGTTGTACTTCAGATGATCATCTGAGGCGCCAGTGACTTCATTCGCTCGCTCCCAGGCAATACGAGCGGCATTGCTAGCAGCTGAGAGAGCCCCGCTAGTCCCACTAACCATTGGCTGTTCGCCTCCTGATAAAAGCGGGGGAACTGAAATCTCCCTGAGCGGTTGCTGGACAGCCTCATCATCCATCACCTCTACCTCATTTGGATGTCGTTCCATCTTAATCAATAAAAAAAAACGAATGTCATTAATTGTAATGCCAATATTTCTTTTGCGTGCAGTCCAAGCATCCAACAGCCTGCATGGTTAATATAACTCAAACAAACGCTTACATATATACGTCAACTTTTCTCAGCCTTTACTAAACTAAGCCAATCCAAGCGAATAACGAAATAGACACGGAAAAACCTTTACGTAAATGTCGTCCTGTTTGTGTAAATGTAGTTCGAACTCTGAATTCAGCATCGTTGCTGAATGCGTATCCAATAACTGGGTAATATAAGAATTACCAATCATCCGTTTAAAAAAACCACACTAGCATGAAAGGATGCTAGATTTCAAGAAAACTACTGTAAAAAGACCATGCGACAATAATGGTATCACTTAAAACGATCATCAGGCAAATCAAAGCTGTTTGGTGCTGCCCCCTAGGAAATACGAAGAAACACAAGAGAACAATCCTGTCTATTTTACGACGCTACTACTAGACAAGTATTAAAGTTCCTAAAAATGCATTTTTGTACAAAACCCATACACAACAAAGGTTATTCAAAAAATATTTTGTTCCATATAGGACAGTTAAAATTCCATGTGTAATTGATCTTATAATTAGTGAATTTTTGAATCGCCTCAGTCGAAACATGCGCTTAAATGGGGGACTTAGCAGTTGCCTTTGCAAAGCACGTCACTCCACGCACAAGAGATTGGATCGCGGTTTTAATGGGCCAGTGTTCTTGGATGTTAATTCTGGGTTTATGAGCATATAGAAAACTTATTTTGAGACTAAATCAAGTGCCTGCAAAACAGGATAGGAGCGCTGTCGTATACCTTTCTAGTTGGTGTCACATTCCAAACATCGCAACATAATTTCGATTTAAATGGAGAGTAACGCCCGTCGTGACACCATTACCAAAGAGGCAACCTTTTTAAAACACGTAATAACGGCTACTCTAGGAAAATTTTGTAGCAAAAAATATGCAAAGCTCGAATTTGCTCAAAACCACACAAACGATTCAGAAAGACAGTTATGTACAAAATGAAATATATTTCGAGGTGAAAATTCTGAATGAGCATAACTGTGGCAACTTCTTCTTTCTTAAACTATAAAGAACTGGCAACATCTGTGAAGGGAGGCCAGACTCCTCAGTGAGAGTTCCCGTTCGGTGCCGACCTTTAAGTAACCAATTAGACATGGGGGTCAATTCGCACGAACTATAAACACAACACCTAGCGTTATGCGCGGTCGCAGCTATTTTAAAACATCGCGATTCTTCCACCGGCCACTGGTCTCGGATAACGATAGTAGGTTGGGTTCGGTCCTTGAAGCAGCCTTGCGGATGGAAACGGGCTTGAGACAGGACCACTCAACGAACGGGCGAAGTGGGCGGGCAGGGATGTTTAGACTGAGTGCTTTCAATCGGAGATTGCGATCGGACGTGAGAAGCACGACTTCCCTGACCACACGCATGGGCTGATCTGGGAAAACATGGCAATTGATTTAAATGGCAATCGAATTAACGACTTCGTAAGATAATGATAAAGTTTCAAATTTCGCGTCATGTGGCCTCGTTGAAACTCGAAATCTGGGGGATGCAAGCTTCCTTTCTCGACTAGCACGACTATTTAACTGGTGGCAATTTGTGCGGCTATCAGCATACGACCACGTCCCCTGTAATTTCATTGTACTTGTGATCAAGGATTTAAAAGGGTAAAGAAAGATTATTTGCCTTTCGCAAGAAAGCCATTCTTCGATACACTCAATGTAATGAAGGTATATAAACAGATGGTCAGAATACCGCAACAAAAATAACGCTTAATCAAAGGCATCTAACACAGATTAATTTCGCCGATTCAGTAAACCAAGTACTTTGATCATAAAACCTATTTATTTGAACTTCTACTGCCAATAGTTAGAAATAAAAGGAAACAAGGTAAGCAGTCAGTTAAGTAGAAGCCCGTGGAATGAAGAATACGTGAAACAAGTGTTAAAACAACCAGGTAAAATCTCATGTAATCTCAGGCTCTGTAAAAACTCTCTGGTAATATCAAATACACATAAAAGCAAACAACTGATTCTAATGTAATACTTTTAATAAATGACGAATCATGTAGAAATAGCGCATCATTAATTGTTTAACTGATGTGCCCTGGTGTTACAGCCTCAATAAAGAGGAAAACAACGCGATCAGCAACCCATAAATTGCATGGGGCTTCAGAACCTCACAGGAGGGTGTGAAAGGAAGTGGAGAATAAACAACCAAGCCTGAGCACAGCCACAATCTAATTAACTTGTCGAAGTTCCCGTACAAACCAACTAAGGCCAGCTAGATTGAATTTCTACCGTAATTCACTGAATTCTACGTGAGAAAAGAACTTAAAACACGGATAAAGTATCCGGAAACGCAAAAAATAACCTTGCCAAAGTTGATTTCTTAGGCGAAAATACGCAGAATTGAACAAAAGGGCGCGTAAATTAAACCAGCGAAACAACTAGTTTTTGCTAGGCATTCTAAGTGACGAGCCATGTCAAGGTAAAGCTTCAACTTCGATAGAAATCAATTCCGTTTATTTACCCCATTTGCTTGGGCTGTGGTTAGTTAGCAATTATGTGCACTTTCCATTTTTACATGACAGGTGGCCTACGCCGTAGCATAAACTTGTTTGAAAAATTTGAAGACAAAATTAACCACATTGTGATGGCCAACAGACTACCTCGGCTAAAACGTATATTTGAAAAGCAAAAGGGGTTGTTCAAAATAATGTACAATTGTGATCTGATTGGTCGTTAACAATTTTCGCCTAAATATTAACTCTCCTGATGCATTCTTAAGCTAAAAATAAAACTGGCATCGACTACTTAGATATCCGACCACAATAAGCCAAGGGTATTACTCTCTGAATCAGCAGTTGAGAGGAGTTGGCCCTCGGCAGACATCTGTGCCAACGCCTCCTTGCAAAACTGTCGACAACAAGTAAGAATGACATCATCATTGTTTTGCCCGGGCTGTTTCCCACGATTGGCTTCATTACGATAGGCGATAGTCTCAAGCATGCTGCCCTTGGCTGTAAGGGCACGCAACCTCGGATTTCGACGTTCGAATTCATCTTCTAGAAAGGCTATAGCAACTTTCGCGCGTTCTTGAATCAGGTTGGCACGACCACCACTCGTTTCACTTGAACTAGTAGTGGAGCTGTGACTGGGGAGATATTGAGCAAAGGCGCTTTCGATGCCGCCTGATGAGAATAAGCGATCCTGGGAGGCCAGATAGTCCAGTTCATTTAGCACTTTAAAAAGAATAGTTACGGTGAAATACAATAAAACGCCAAATAGTAAAGGAAACTACTGAAATTTTCAACGTAAGAATAAGAATTCTAAACCTATAATTTTGTGTAAACCGGTACAGATAGCACATTCCAAGGGATTTAGACATTATAACGAAGCCTCTTCAATGTTTGAGAGGTGTTTTTAGAATGGGAAAGTAGCCTGCTTGTATGAGGATAAGGCAGGTATTCATATAATGAGCTGTCAATTGGATATCTTTGGCGATATATATGAAAATGACAAAGCTGTCGATAACTTACCAACAATAGGTACTAGAACGGTGTAGTTTGATGAGGCTTGGGCCAGTCGCGCGACGCCCTCAAGCCAATCAATGTAGCAATTGGTGTCTGGAAGGATGTAGATGGGTCTGACCTTAATCTCAATACCACGCGGGCCTCCAGCCGCAGCTTGTCGCACCGCTTGCGCACGCCAAGCTTCGAGGCGCTTGGCCTCCGTCAATTGACTACGCAAGGCGGCACGTTGACGACGCAGGGCAGAGATTTCATCGCTGCCATCGTTGTCTTCCGATTGGTCAACTTCACTACATGAGGGTGAGTTCGGAAGCTTAAAAAAGAAAACAATTAAAGTGAATGTGGCTTTTCAATATGGAGTACAAGGGTTACCGCAACTAACATCTATAAGACTAAAACACCCATTTCTAAACGAAAAAGAGATGTTTTCTAACTTTGTGGGTTACATAAGCGTTTGTATATCTAACTATTATATAGATATTAAAATGTGATATTGGTGAAACTACCAAATAGTGTTTGCCCATGCATAATTACCCAACTTACTTCTGAGGAATCCGATTCAGATCCGGGAGCGACGTGAGGTGAGCCAGATCGATTATTTCTGCTTTTCGCTAACTTTTTGGTCGACAACTGTTCACATGACTCGCGTTCTGTGACCGGACGATAGATGGCCTTGTCAACATCGTACGACAAAACAGGGGGCTCAATGCCACACAGGAAGTCACCAAATAGGGATATTTTCTCGACACGAATGTAATCAGCCACACGTTCGGTGCTCCAGTCTCCAGAGTACTGATACATCTATAAAAAAACACCACTGTTACACTTGATGACGAAAATTAGCTCATCAGGAACCGATAGAAAAAAGAAATTGAAAAAGTACCAAAATGCCGAATGAGACGCAAGGACGGTTAGGCAAACTTGAATGGCAATAACTTAGCAGCCCTCTAATGTGTACAAAAGTTTGATTGTGCTTAATGCATCAACAAGTTAGAGACGAATGTCACAAAAGACTTGCTTTAGGGGTAAGATCAAGCATTGGTTTGAATCCAGCAAAAACAGTTTCTTCAAACAGTGTTGCAAACTTTAGGGAAGCTGGCACTTGATTCGTCGAGTCCTCCAACGAGTCGTCCTCGATTTCCACTGCTGTACCCACTTCCTCTGGTTGCTGCTTCCGAAGGTGCAATTGGACAACCAGGGCGGTGGTAGGGTTGATTTCTTCTACGTGAGGTGCATTATCGATGGCGGCGATCCACTGCGAGGCACGAGTGCACACCTCCGCGACAAGGCGCCATTCGTCCAGGCAGGGGCGCAGTGTGGGGTCACGGTGGTTTGGGGGTGGGGACCAGTGCTCAGGGTGAAGAATCATCCACTCCGTCCAGAGGCGCAGAGCTGGGAGGAGAGCTCGAAGATCGGGGTGGATCCAAGAAGAGTGCGCAGCAGATCCACAGTGAGGCTAAAAATATTTGCACACTTATTCTAGCTCTTTTGACTGGAACGTGTACCCTCGAGAGAAAACACTTAGCTACTTTAGTAAAAACGACACTTGTACCTACCTTGTGCCAGTACGAACAGAAACCAGTTCTCATCTATTCTAACTCCAAAGACCGATTACAGTACCGGTGATGAATCAAATTATCACCACTTTTGCATGAATCAAGTGAAGTATCCAAGCCTACAATGCATCATTGGTTCTCGTCGCTGGGTTTTAAAACTATAGGTAAGACTGCGGTTTGGTTCTGGGTGTAACTTGACGAGTGTTCAACAGACTTCCCAACAAAAAAGCAGCCGATCTTCAAAAAAAGACGAGCGCGAGAAATAATAACGGTAAAATAGCGCAACCAAGAAATAACAACGCATGCTTTTTTCCAATGGGCAGATTTTGCATGAGAAGCAAAGCGCTGACAAAACACGGCGAAACATACTCCATACGATATTGAAAGACGGGTGACAAGGAAGAAATTAACAGGTACATACAAGTGCTACATATTCGCACATAGGTACCTCGGTGAACAGTTTTGCAGCGCGCCTACAGATTAGGCTGAATGTGTCCAACGCAAAGCGTGCAGCGTGGTCGTGGTGCACAGATCGAAGGGTCTCTGACTCCACCTTCTGTTTTTGTTGCTGTTTTCTCCCCGAACTGCGCACCTTGTCGTCAGCGGCTGCGATGCTGCCGCTAGTGGCAGCGGCCATACTGGCAGCTGATTGGGCCGTGAAAATGGCTGCACGGTCCACGTTGAACATATTCACCATGAGGATCTGACAAAGGCGGTCATCGGAGAGGGGACAGGGGTGCTGCGCCAGCAGACCAGAAAGGGCTTGTAGAGCTAGTGAAGCTACCTCTGGGAAAGTTTCCATTCTGTTAGAAAGTGACGGAATAACAATTATTCTTGATGACAGGAAAACAAGCTCATCGCCCAAGTCAACGGAACGCTATATTGTGACAGCAGCTTCAGTCTATAATGTAGCAATTTATATAATTTATGGAATGAAGTCGCATCTACCAGGACCTTAAACCCCAACACGAACACTGCGCACCTTGCCTAAAGTTACCGCGACACGGGCCGGAATATTACGCTGTGTTTAGGAAATTCTATTCATTCGAGACTTTTTAATTATTTGGAACAGCCAAGTTACGCATGGACGACAAACCGAAACACCGATTAATAAGGAAAAAATGTACTAACGATTGACTCAGTTGAAAGCAAAGAGTTTAGACGCTCCCCATGAGATATCATCAGTAATGCGCTAGGACAGTAATAAACAGTGATAACAATAGTCAAGAAAGCATTGTCAGGTTTCACTTACCCTATTTTCGTGAACAGCTGCCCGTGAGCATGCATAAAGTGTAGTCCAAATAACTTCGTTAGCTACATTTGAAAAAGAAACATAACATCTTTTAATCACAATGTTGATTAAATAAGAATGGCTCTCTGCCTTAAAAGAATTATAAATCAAATGACGTGTTAAACCTGATAAACCATTATAAGTTGACCGTCTACATATGATCAGCTCTTACGATACAGCCTCGGAGCCACATTGTGATAGGGTGATCCATAATTATAAGGTCCAAATTTCAATCTATGCTGGATGCGATTACTACCACTAGAGGAGAATACGAGAAAGTTAGCACAGAGGCTTTTGTCCTCCCTCTACTACAAAGAGATCAGTCAACAGAAATCACACCAGTGTCAGATGGCTGAAAAAGTTAAATTGAGCTGTTTCCCAAGCACGGACGGTTTTTGGATCCATGACATTGTAGTAATCAGCAATTGAGCCACCCGACGAGGAACGTATCCAGCCGGGATTCAAGTCCCATTCACGACGGAAAAAAGGCAAGTACAGAAATTTGCAAGATCAGCTTAAAAGAGGACCACCAAGCGCAAACCGAAGTTTACTTCATAATTTCGTGGGGACACAAATTTTTAAATGAGGAATAGAACACGCATGTTGTGTGTGTGCGTGTGTGTGTGTGTAAAATTAACCAGGCTACACACGTAGAGGGCCACTTTTTGCAAAGCTACAAAAAACCGCTAATTCTGTAAAACAATGATTAAGTGGCAGCGTGCATTTTGCAGCATGTTGATAAATTTAAAACGTGTAAATTAGTGTCAAAAAGTATGATTACGGTGCCCACTCCCCCATACACCTTAATTAGTCCTCATTGGAGGCGAAATCGTTGCCCATTGCTCGTGTCTCAAGATTTCTTAGTAAGGCTTAAGACCCCAGTACATAGATTATTGCTATTTCACAGCGTGTACCTCAATAAGTGATGTGTTCGCATATTCCTCCGCTTCCGCCTGCGCCTCCTCCTCTTCCTCCTCATTCTCCTCATCCAAAAGTTCATCTGAGGTCAAGCTGGTAGAACTGGCAGTGCCGGTGACCTTCTTTGGCATCCTGGGCGCTACCCTACAGGTGGCGACATGAGGTATCGTGAGGCTCCGGTTGCCCTGGACAATCGTTGCTGTCCCGTTCACGGGATGTATCCAGATCTCTACTCGCTTGGCTCGTCCATGCGTGAACATTTGTGAGACGTGAGTGGAAACTTGTGCGGATTGCGAGGATGGGTAGTTGGGCTGCCACCGCGACGACTTGGACTTCTACTCAACAGAGCACAAAACCGATTGTTTGAATGAAGTACACATTTACTAGAAAGAGCCTTTATGAACCATGAAGGGTAAGAAGGGAAATGCTTGAAAGATAATGTCTAAAATATTGTTATGTCATTTGATATAATTTTTCGTACAAAATGTCCAGTATATCAAGGTATAACCTAAGGAATATTCAATGCGGCTCACCTACAAGCAAATCGGAATCATATTTAATACGCAACCTCAATGCCTAGATGCAACCCAATAATAATAATTAAAAATTACGAATAAATAGTGCGTTATTGCATTATGTAAGCCCAAAATGTCTTTGAAATTGCAATTGCAATTCAGATGCAAATCATTCAGAGGAAATCGAATTCGGTTCCATTTAAGTCTAATTTTTAATAATAATAATAATAATAACAACAAATAATGGCGGTTAGGCTGCGTCTGGACCACTCTAAATAGGGCAGCAATTAAAAAACACAACTCTTAGAAATTCTGATTTGAAAGGATCAAAGAAAATAGAGCATTTTAGTTTCAAAATGATCGATTGGTGAGGTTTTTTCAGATTTTGTGCATTGACTCTATGCCGATTTCATGGGAAATGACAACTTACGTTTCGTAACGTGTCAACGCCACGCAAGTGAACCTCGTGGAATAGAGCAGACAGGCTCTGGCTGGCCGTTGGGAAAGGGTTGTTGGTGGCCAATGTTCGCATATAATAGCACATTGCATCAAAGTGACGCGACTATACGCATACAAATGGAAAAAAACTATACATAGTATATAAAGGCCACAAGCATATAATGTACAATTGTGGACGTTCGTTGAAATCAAACATCTACCATGTAACACATTGCATTATTCCGATGCTTTTGAATTTAACATTATTTTCATTTCTGTGTAGAGATGCCGAAATCACAGCTTCTACACAAACAACAAAACTTTACGTAACAAATTAAAGAGTCCAAGAGCAGTACTGATAAATTATTGAGAACTGGCCAGGCTAAAACTGTACAAGTATTGATTACACTAAAGACTGCAAAACTTGGCATACTATTGTCCAGTGAGACAATATAGTGCACTTACTGTGTAGATGGCCAGCACAGCAAGTTGGTTATAAGGTCTACCACTTTTCGGAATAAGCAGCTGGGCTTTCTGATACCAGCTAAAATGTAAATAATTAAAAATATTGCTAATGGGCTCTAAAGCATGAACAAATTCCATCATCTTAGAATAAAAATAGTCAACCAAAAGGCAAGTTTTACCTTCTTGCTTTTCCAAAATTATGTCCACCGTTAATCATTTCTTCATAGCGTGCCAAGTCCCCAAGAAAAAGCATCAGCTTTTGTGCGCTGATGTAGACTAATCTGCGTGTCCGAGAACCAGACTCTGGAGGTGGCCGACCCTCACCAAGTACGTAGTCTAAACGAACACGGCGAACCGCCTGAATGCGATGTAGCAGTGCAGTTAAACGATGTTCACCAACCCGGATTACGTCATCCAAACAAGCACGTCGAATGATTTTGATTAAACGAGAACAGGCAGCTGCAGCAATCGCCTGTCCGCTATCGCTCCCATGTGGCTTCGGTAAAAGCCTGACAAAATATGGACCACAAATCAAAAATAAATCCTACACAATATGACAATATTTGAAGCATGAACGAACCCAGTCATATATGGATTCGTGATCCAGGCACGTAAGTACTCCAGTACAGTGTAGAACACTGATTTCCACATTCCTTGTTCAACCTGTGCCGTGTTACAAAAATCCAGATCTTCAAGGATGATGCGTTCGTAGGCAACCATCAAACTGCTTCGCAATTTCTCCAGCGTGTTCCACCACCTCAAAAATAGACGTTCGGGTTCTGGCATCTGTAACTTTTCTTCTGATTGCTCATCGGAAAGTGGAGGCAGATGGGCAGCACACTGACCGGGTGGAACCATAAGGGTGTTTAGTGCGGCGTCCATTTGCATGATCTGGAAAACTACTTCAGCAATAGCGGAATTTGGTGGTTTACTAAAAATATATGTAGATATAAAATTGTCTGGTTTTCAGTTGAAAAACAAAGCAGTGCTCCTTCGATAATAACTTAAAGGTACCTGGAAGGCTGTATTACCATTCCCGGAGCGCCCTCCCACGGTTGTTCTAGTGGCTGGCGGTTTGGCCTATTTATGTCCATATGGGCAAACATCGCAGACATCGAGCTAGTATGTGAAGTTCCCACAAGAGTGGCACCCTCGGGTTCATGAACAACCTGTTTTTGGTTCTTATTTGCAGGCTGGAAATGCGTAGATTTTTGGTGAGGATGAACCACAAGAACGGGTTTGGAAATGGCGGAACCTGTATCAATAGGTACATACTCATGGTCTTTGATTACCTCTTTGGACGGCATTCAAATTACCAGAATTAGCATCAGTCTCCTGGTGTAGATTAATGTTCTTAGGAAGATGAATGAGTCCACCTTGCCTCGGAGTAAAATCATTCAGCCCTACTTCTTCACTTTTGAGGGTCGATAGTGTTTCCAGGGATTCCTTCGGTTCAGGAGGGTTAATACTACAGACTGGTTCTGTAGCATCAGATTTCTGTAGTACACGACTATGTTTTTGCGCATACGTGTCACGCTTCCGATTGTGGTATGGCCTTGAAAAGCCCCGACCTCTATAATCAACATGAGGTCTTCCCGCATCTTTGGGAACAGTTTTAGAATTGAGACGGTCCCGATTTTGGTCATCTCGTGAGCGTTCCTTATGGAAACGCTGCGAAGATGCAGAAACGTTTCCACTTAAATGTACAGGGTTATCAGAAGCCAATACATCACTCATTTCGTCGCTCGCAGTCGCCTCTATGACATTTTGCTTCGTTTTATTATGCAAACTATTAGGTGTGTCATCTTGACGACTATTTCCTTTGTTTAAAGGTGGTCTGTAAAGCAACCTGTCTGGACGACGCTGTTTAGCCGACATTAAAAAACCTTCAGCCCACTACCAATTGACGAACACGGGGAAGTCACAGTAGCTTAAAACAACTTTATTCGGAACTCAAAAAAGAAGCCAGAGTTGCATATTTTAGCAATGCATATTTATATTAAAAAACTATAGTTTACTTCTTAGTTCAAAGATATGACAATTGAAATTTTGTTATGTGTCTTGCATTGATATTGAGCATGAATCATATTCGTGCCTAAGGAAAACCCCACACCCTAGGCATTGATTTTCAGGTAAAACAAATTCTCGTGCATTCTCTTGCAGAGATTCTTAAAAAAACTTAAATTTAACAAAATACTGTGTATTCAATTCCCAGAAAATTAAAATCCATTGCAATTGCTAATTGTCAAAATTTCCCAATTCATAAATCATTGCGTAGCCACACAGATGGGTTACAATATTGCAACGGTGTTTATATCTCACCAGTTCTCGTCCTTAGTCTCCTACCAAATGCAATTTAAAAATGCGAAATTATGTTTTTTTCGATCGTACTTTGCTATTTTTTCGCCAGAATTATAAAATGTGTTGTTGATTACTTCCCTAAATGCTAAGTCCATTTTATTAGACACTGACATATCAAAACTGGTATCTTCAAAGCAATCAGTCACTTTTAGCTCAAGTGCATCAGCTGCACTTCACTGCCTTTTAAGTTTAATTAACCTTTTTTGAGCTTTCTGACAAGGGAGAAGTGAATATTTTTTTTTTCAGCTTAAGATGTATGGGAGCTGCGCAAGCATTGAGTTAAGGTGACAAACAGAACCATTAAAGTGAGGTGGGAAATCGGAAAAAAACACTCAATTATCGGGAATTTGTCGGAACCTTGGAATTGTATAAATTTGCTCTGTCACTTAATTTCTTGTCGGAAATTTAGAGAAAATGCTTGTTTTGTAAAAATGTCGCCTGATATCTTTAGTTAACTTGACCAAATTAGCACTCGCACATGAAAATTCAAATTACTTTAAAATTTGATGAACTCTACCCTGTCAAAAATATTATACCATCAATTTTTATTCTCGTAACAAGTTTATATTGATGATCTATTTTGTGAGCACTCGCTCTAATTAACCCAATTAATACCCATTATATTTCTGTTAAAATACACCAAGGTGACTGAATTTGTTCTCGTAAAAATTTCAAGCATGAGTCGCATTCATCATCCTCGGGTTATTTATTTTATTGATAATCTATGTTTATTTGCGTTGATTTGGGTCATTACCAAAGCCGTGAGTGAAAAGCTGAGATCAGGAGGCTATTAAATTTGTCTATGAGGAGACTGTTTTAATGCGCACACTGCAAATTATTCAAAATCTAAATGAACAACTTTTAACCTTGCCTGTTATTGCAAATTCTTGTAACGAAACACAATAATAGTATCTCTCAATATGAAGTGGATTTTTCGTTCGGGCCTACAAATGTAGCACCAAGCCGCTGTGATATGATGGTCCCTCCAAATTACCCCCTTTAAGGTTTCCACGAGACGAACGGGACTCTACCAATTGCTTATACTATACTGGCCTTCCAGCTCAATGTAAATTAATTCTTTCTTTACTTCCGTAAAAGGAAGGATTCACGACACATCCCACGTAAATACAATTCCAAAGTATTTCATTGACAGTAAATATGCAGTCAGTGACGCTGCGGTAGGCACCGACATGTCCTCTGTTCTTTAAACACTGCAGTAATAACCACCATCACTACAATTAGCCCAGTGATTCCCATGAATACTTAGCTAGCACATCTCTTCGGGAAATTTGATGTACGCAACTAGAAACAAAAGAGGGCTAACAGGATGGATACAGTGCAAAACCCCAATCAAACATTTTCCTTCTTGTCTCAATATCCTTTGGAACGAGTACTAAGAAAACAACACACAACAGGCAATAAACCGACTTTACGTTGGTTCATAGGTACAAAACAAGCTCAAGAGATAAATGAGAACAGATTTACAAAATGTGTGAGTGTGTAACGTTGTGCTGTACACAAACGCGATGGACCCCGGTGGGGGAGACAGAAAGACAGAACTAGACGAAACTAGGGGGAAGGGTTGGGGTGCCTGGGTCGGTCGGAGAGACTTCCGACGACTTCGGGAGGCTCCCTCGATGCCCAACGGGAAGAAATGCGCTGTTTTCGCTGGGAACGAGGGAATACATTCGAATTTTTTTTACTGAACATCCCTCTGAAATGCTCCTGTTGCTCGTGGCGGATCTGAGGGGGAAAACAGACAGCAATTTACGCAACATAGGTTGCAAAGCATACGAAAATGCAACCGTTACGCTGGGCTGGTATAGTGGCTGTTCTAACAGAGAATGAGAATCACATTATAAAACCCGTCCTTCGAATGAGCGAGATTTAAGTGAGCTGAAATTAATCACAGCCTACTAAAAAGAATTCAGGGCTACCACGGGGTTCGCAATACGTTGATGCCGATACCGCAGTTTAATGTTGATCAAAGGAGTAGTTAACGCTTCGGTTCGGGGAGTATTTAATTCTGTTAACTCCTACATTTTAGTATAACCTGATAAATACTACGAGGCACGTGGTGCAAATGGAGTGTGAGTAGTTGTGAGACGAGATAGAAGGCCAGGTAACAAATTGGCAAAGTTAACGCTGCCAACGAACGGATTTTATACGAACTATCATGAGCGCAAAGGTCCCTTACGAAATCGAGTAAAATATGTACCTGCTAGCACAACCTAATGTTAGTTAAGAACTGAGGAATATCAAGCAAGTAAAATATGCTAACGTTTAGCATCATAAACTTGTCTAATGCAGAAATGGAGAGTATGCACTTTGGCAAGCTCAGAGGAAATGCGCACTGTTGCCTGGTGGATATAGGAAAGATGAGTTCCCGCATATTGTGGGCCCCAGAATGTGGTTTCTAACCACGCCAGGGCTACCGATTTGGACCTGACCCGATCAACCACAACGTTTCTCAGACACGAAAATCAATTTTACCGACACACGAGCTAAGTTTACTTCCTGCTCTATGTTTACCCGTATTTTCCAGGTGCAATAAGTTTTCAAGCCATGCGGCATGAACTCAGATATTGTCTAGATTTATCAACTGTCAACGTTGCGTCACGTGCAAGCATATTTATGCACCGATAGCCCCATAAGAAAAGCAATGCTTGACTAACAAACTTAGGCTAATTTTCGTTAATCACATTCCAACCGTATGCAAAAATTCTAAGACGTTTTTCGTTTAAAGATTCATAACTAAAGTTCAAGAATTTTCCATCATGACTTGAGATGGACCATGAGCACGAAACGTAGTGAACACGCGTCGGGACAAGAAAGTTACTTTTATCAATTAAGTAGTAATAACCTTTTGGTTGCGTGAAAGTCGCTGGCCCGAGTAGCCACCACATCAACAGACATTGCGGGTCCCCGTTTGAGAACAGTTGGTCGCGTTAAGCCCGGAGCGGCGAGACTCGTAAAGCACGATCGCCGGCGATCGAATGCAGACACAAGAGGAGTGTGCGGAGAATCACGTGATGAGTTGATATTCTGGTCGCCCTCCAATTGGGATGCACTTGGGTGATTAAGCGAGTCGACAGATGAAGGGCGAGTAGGCATTGGGTTGCTCTCCGGCCTGCGGAGAACCGACCACTTGGGAAGGCGCTCTGTCAACGTCAAAACAGCACATTGTGGATCTCAGTCAGCTACAAAAACCCTATTTTACAACATAAGAGATCGCATCTAAGGATTACCCACAATTTCCGTGGAAGGAAAACAGGTACTCAGAATTCTTACAAAATCGGTAAATACAATTCACAGTAAACAAATTTTGTGACGGTTCTGTTCTAATTATGGAAGCGATTTTAGTCCGTTGTGGGCCCCAGATGGTGGTCCTGAACCACGCCGGGGCCACAGAATTAACCCTGGCCCGATTACGCTTCCCTAATGCCCGCGATAAAGAAAAAGACCTGAGAGGACGGGACACAATCGTTTACTCCAGAGCTCAACCAAGTTGGCGTCGACGTGTCGTGTCTGGGGTTTGAGTGCGCGTATTTATACCTTAGATGTGTGAACCATAGATGAGCTAACCTCCACACCTAGGTGTGAAGATAACCCAGGATAAATGTTCATACGAATGAGGGGGAGTTGAGGATCCGCGGGGCTGGCAACATGCTGCCAAAAAGGGGAACCCCGTGTCGGAGGCTGGAGTGATCGGATTAGCGAATGTGAATCAACGCGATTCACAACAAGTTCAACAAAAGGTCACCTAGACTAGGCTATGAGGGCTAAAATAAGTGCGGCTGCGGTTGTGCTCCATCGATTCACAGCCCACTTCCGGCAGTGCATAACATAAATTGACCGGTTCCACTGCCTAATATGCCCATAAGTCGTGCAATCAGGAAATGAATAAAAACGTACATACAGATCCCAGAAACGACTAGAAATCAGGTCTGAAGTGCGTGCGCATCTAGAAGAACACGCAACCGATGTGCTAAAAGTTGTGTGCTCTATTAAGCATCTGAATAAAAAGAGAATTAAACATAATCCAGACCCCGGCTTTTAACGATTTGGCGCCGTGGTTCTACGTGGAAATAATAGACTAAGCCTGGACATATTCACGCCGGAAAAGGCGCCGAAGTTTGTGACTTCCGTAAAAGCCTAAAACAGGATCTTGTAGGACAACAGGCGTTCAAGGTTAAAGTTAGTGCACGCAAAAAGGAGAACGTGGGGCCTTGGTAAACAAAGGAAACACAGACTAGACCTCAGATAAACGCTTGTTTGTGGGATTTCAATCCGTGATGTCGAAAATAGCCCCCAGAAATGTGTTTTCCGACTAAACTAAATCCTTAGGCACCATATATGGCTATGTCCTATTTTCACTTTGTAGGCCCATCTCCAGTTATGCTGTTAGGCATCAAACCGTCATTTCGTGTTTCAGTTCATACCACCTGTAGCAAGTCGAGTCGTTTAAATTTCGCCTCAATCGACCATGGAAATACAAGCGTGAACCCCTAAAACCGATGCACGCACGCGTCCGTCCGTGGACGCGACTTCAAATTGAAGGGACGAACAACGCACTACCAAAAACACGGCACCCAAATTACCGCATTTCATGAACGTTAGCGAGTGACGATCAGAGTTCGAATATCAGATGATTCACACACACGACACAGCCGGATGTGTACACGGACGCAGAAGGGCGGAGTAGGGCACGAAGGAGTTGAAACAACTTTCTTTTTGAACCAAGTGGTCAACCGCACAAGCGTCGGAACCACAAAGCATGGGCTGACAACCCACAAGGAACTTGGAGCTGTGCCAAGTGCAACCGCTGTCGCCTGACCGGATGTGACTCACGTGCGCGTGCTTAGACGCGACGATGGCAACGGCCCCCTCTTCGTACCCCTACCCCTACTCCGGAGAAAGCTACTAGCCAGCCCTTCGGTTGTGTTACAGGATTAATCAACCGATAGGCCCACCTACATTCGCTGCCCCGAGTGCTAGCATCTGAGTGGCTGTCGTCATTAAGCCCAACCTCACGAGTCATGCACTTTGCTTTGGGGTGGATTTGTTTAAATTGTGATTACGTTAACTCAAATTCCCTTTGAAGGACTAAACGTGCGCAGTCTTGTGACACGCATGAGAAAGTCACAAAGCTGCTGTTAATGCAGAGGTGGTTGCTTCCCCTCTAAACTTACCTTCCCTAGCAGAAGTCTAACATCTGTCTCTGGACTCGCTTAACCCCACAACAATAAAACACACATTTACTCCGCTCGTACAGAGTACGATTTCATGCATGCCAATATTCACGTTTCTGTCTTCGGTGGATTAATAACCACGAGGCATCGCCACCATAACCAGTCTACTTGGCATACAGAGCAGACACTCAGACTTGGTTTCCAGCACGACGACCGGCTCAGCTCGCTAAGGGGAAAGCGTAATTTTATCCAGAAAGTAGGGGAATAGAAGAGTAATTTGCTGCAGGACGCCCAGCTAACTGATGGGGGCGCAGAATTTAGCTTGAAACACCCCTCAGCCCAGGCCCGCATGTGGCTGTCCAGGGACCTCGACTGATTGATTAACTTGGCCAGCAGAACACCTGAAAATGCGACCCGAGGCCGGAGGCGAGCCCACGTGATGTGGACGTGCACGCACGCATGCACGCACGCATGCACGCACACAGGAGCCAGGGCCCTGCACAGGCAGGCGAGTGTGCACGCAACGCCTGGACAACCCGGAGACGCGTGCGTGCGTGCACTAACACCACCGAGACACGTCATTCGACGACTTCTCACGCGACGCGTTGCCAAATGCCATCTGGCGGCGTGCAACAACACAACGAGGCATGGGCGACCTCCAGGGCCTGAGAGAATACCACGTCTGGCTTCCATCTACTAAAATGCAGTAACTGCCACCTTATTAGGCGACGTAAATCGATAGCGTTTTTTTCTGAAAATTATCACGCGGACTAAAAACTAGGCGATATATCTGGAATTTCAGCCGAGTTTAACAACAAATAGGGTAAATAGGATTTTCTTAGGGAGACCCGTCGACACAGTCACTATTTCCGCAGCTCGTCAAACCCACACACCACAGCAAGGGGACGGTGAAACCAATTTCTGTTCACCGATTAAAGTGGAGGGCGTTAATAACGAGTGGGAGTGACGGGTATTGGGTACTCCTTGATCCCGGCACCACCTGAACGTTGTTAGCGATAGTGCATGCGACTTCAGGACACGAGGATTTTCATTCAATGACGCACACATTTTTACTAAATACCAAAAAACCCAAACGCGCTATGTATAGTTATTGAAGTACGAAAACACAAATTTGCCCCAACTAATTGGTAAACAAGAAAATAATGAGCAGATACACAACCACGTGGCCACGTGCTAACGCCCCACGTGAGAAATTCAGAAAACGAACGTGGGAACTTTTGTGGTGGTAGTAAACTAACAAGTTCCGCAAAGAATTTTCGAAGGGGAAGAAAACGGCTAATACGTATAGATAGCTGACCTTGTAAAACGCTAACACGCTCCTACCCACACAAGCGTATCGTAACGCCTTTTGGCAAGGAGCCAAAATTGACACTCGGGCGCTCAAAACTACTGCAGAAACCGTAAAAATACTCAATTTGCTGAGCCCTAAAACATCCCTGCTGAACGTTCACAGAATTTAAATAAAGACGGGACTGCTAATTAAAGTGAAGGTAACGTTGCCAATGGTATTGCCACCTCATATAAACTGAGAGGAAAATAGCACGGGTTTGGCACGACGACGCAAGACAACTTGGCAAGTGAGTGAAGTCTAATTTATGCACAAAGAACCCCCATTAAAATAAAGTGGGTGTTTGAACCGTCGAACCATGGTAGCCGCAATCCCACTTGCCACGGTGATGCCAAATATAGGCACACGGCTTTTGCTGATGCTACCATTTCTACTGCATAAATCGTCGACGCAATGCTAATTAGGCGTTACGCATCGCCAAAATAACAATGGACCCTGGCGGATACGACATGGCAGCATTGGTGCCGCGTGGGGCGGGGGCGCCAGCGGGCCCGTTGGAACAGGCCTCTTCGGACTGCCGGTTCGTGGTTTAACACACATAAGCACGCATGCACACACACACACACACGCACCCACACCAAAAACGTGGTTGACACTGCGTTCGGGGCAAGTGGGATGAACAAACGTTTCCACTCCAGAACTGAGCTGATTGAATTAGGTGCATTGCGCAAAGGCATTGAACACGTGATTATTCTTGAAGGAAAATCCTTCAGTTTTTTGGGTGTAATTTGTACAAATGATTCCCTATTGTATTGTGAAATTTGAAATGCGACGTTCTCCAAACCCTTCTCTAGACAATACTTATGGAAGTGAACGGATATCTGCATCACGACGGGCGACTGAATAAATGCAAACACCTTGTTGATTCATTTGGTTACATCTAACCGAAAAGAGAGATTCGGGACCAGAGCGGGACACTACCTAGCGAGAACGCGCATTTCAATTTGACAGTAAGCGGCCCACGAGTTGGCCACACGGGTCTGAGGTGATTGGCTAAAGCTTCGGCATCTGAGCTGGCAAAGCCACGGAGTAGCGACTGCGTCCCCCTCCCACTTTGTGAAAGACTTGGGAGATGCGAGTGTACGCGTCTGCTTTGAAGCCGCCCAGCGGCGTTGGTAACGCAGCGGCAATGCGCAAAAAACCCTGAACGTAGTGGCAGAGCCGGTGACGGCGAAGCGGAGACGGGGCGTGCGCACGCAGTGCACGCGTGTCACCACATACCCGGCTTAAACGGGCATCACATGACCCATTGACACGCGGCCGGCCAACTAACGCCGCTGCTGACTCCTGGTTCCAGTTGACCTCGCAGCCCGCTGGGCGTTAAGCAGGACGAATTGGAGAGGCATTCACGAAGAATGAGCTAATGGCCCGTTTCAGCCATCATTGTTTTCGTTTATATCCAGGTACAGGTCGGTTTATGCACAAACAAACAAATTCCCAGACTTGCGACGATGTGCTTGTGAAAGGCAATCTCAAAAGGACTTAAAAAGCCTTCCACATTTCTGGTCTGATAGATGCTCGAAATTTAGGACGAATCCTAACTTGTTTCGGCCCGCTATTTATGACTTGGAAAGTTCAAGGCTACGTTTTGTCAGCGTCTGGACACTTTTCTTTACTGGCAACAGATTTGAGGAGCACACGCACATTACGGATTTACTCAGTGTGAAAAAAAACCCTGTGCTATCCTTACCGATCCAACTTCAGAACATGCGCAGATAAGGATTGATTATTTAAAATGACAACACCGAATTTCGATTCATGGACCTGTTCGTAAAAAAAAAACAAAACGGCTAACAGTCGGCTCTTGCAGGTTTGAAAAACAGCCATGTTTTGGTGCTAAGCATGGGTACTTTTGAAGTTCAAAATGCATACGGAAAGGCCAAATTAATATATTCCAGCGCGTACATGACGCAATATGTTGGCAACGTGAAAATTTGTCTATGAGGCGACTGCTGTGAAGGATACCCCAACCACTTAACTCTGATGAAACGATCTGCAAGCTGACATACAACCCTCTAGCTCATTGGCTTGGGACAACAATCTGATCGTTCATGCAAGCGGGTCTGGCCATTGAGTACTGACATTGTCACCTGGCCATTTAGACTAAAAACAAGTAAATGTTGCCTCGCGCTTGGCTTAACGTGGAGGAAAAAGTCGGCGCTCATTCCACAACAATAACACCCCTAGCAATGTGTCAAATAAAGGTAGCTAATCCTGGTGTTTGGCGATTACGTGCTAAAGAAAAACTCAAAGTGACAAGGGAATGCCGGTACGCTACGGGGCCTACCACCAAACATGATTGGACTTTGAAGGATGTTCGAGACCGTCGTCAGAGGCTGTCCGTAGGTGGGAGAGGGCGGAGAGCCGAGGGAGGAGGGGGCATGAGAGGGCGAGAGGTTCTCCTGGTCGAGTTGCGCCCCCGGGGTGACATCGGTGGGCAGCACGGCGGTCAAGGGCGAGGCCGCCTCGAAGCCGTCACACGCCAAGGGGACTGGTGCCGCGGGCCGACAAAATCGATACCAAGGTGCATCGGTGTCCGCACCCTGCGGGGTGGATAGGGGACAGAGACAATTGAAAGACTTGGGGAGGTTCGCATCGTCCAGGCTGATTTGTGGAAAGGGGGACGTCGAGGGAGGAGGAGGAGGAGGGGGACGTGGGAGACGCGCGTTGTGTGACTCCTGACATTTGATGGGGAAAAAGAGGATACAAATGTGTTACGAGAATGGGAAATCACGGGCTTGACACAGAAGAAATTGAATTAGACACACATATACTGCGGGGGCATTTTCGGTTGGGCATAGAAACCGCAATGTTCACTGCCTGAGGCACATTTGGGGTCTTTCTGTGGATGTCAGAATGTCAAGAAGACCAATACTCGGAAATCGTAAAACAAACAGGTGTGTGATTACTTACATGTAGAACAAGTTATCGACGTCAGAATTCTTACGTGACCCAATTTCCAGTGCTTTTTCTCGACCGTAAAGCTCAACACTTTTTTCGACACACAATTTTGGAATGAGTTGGCACCTATTTAATGGAACCTCTAAGGTCTTTAAACCTTGCCTGAATTTCAGTCCTATTAGACCTCAACAGCTGGTGGAGGCCTCCACCGAGATTTCGGTAACGATAATAGCAAAATTTGACAATCAACAAGCCATCGTCAATGCCATTTCGAGAGTATTTGAAAAAGGGCAAAATAACCCGAAAATATGAAATGCTGCCTATGATCACAGCACACTTTTAAGAAAGACCAATGAGAAGGTTCGTATTTGTGTTCTAAATAGCTTATTGGAAGTAGACTAACAAAGTGGAGGTCCAGTGGCCTTTGCTAAGCCCCACATGGTTTTGTTTGGTTCAACAAGTGAAGAATGCGATAGGCGCGCACCACTGTGAATGGACTCACCACTAGTGATAACGTGTCGACTTTCGAGGCCAGTCTGCTTATCCGACCCGAGGGAAGGGGACGGGGATCAGACATGTTGACTTGTCGAACTGACAGATAAGCAGTTGGCGATGCAAAGGGTGACCTGGCGAAATCCTGTGAAAAAAAAATAACCATTAAGTGCGCCTAACGTTTGGATAATGCGAATTCAATAGAAGTTAGGGAAGTCAAGGTTGTTGATAATGACGAACGTCAACCAAGGCAACATGACCTCGCCAAGACTAAATAACTAAGAACTGGTGCGTTTTCTTGGACATGTTAAACTAGCAAGAGAATGTGATGGTCACTTAGAGAGCGACCCTTGGAAAACACCACGGAGTGCACAAGTGCAACGGTGTGAGCGTCGAAGGCACACGCACGCACACGCGCAAGTGACGCCGCAAACGGGCGTGTGTGGAGGGGGACCAGGGCCCGCGAGGACGCCATCTTGGGTGGGGACGAGGAGGAGGAGGAAGACGGCGACGTGACATTCAGGGCGGTGGCGGCGGGAGACCTCGGCTCTGGTCGCTCTCACACACAATGGCCCCACATCGTCAACACAAAATGCCGAAATTTTACCAGGGTAAACAAATGGTGAATAAAAGTGACGTTTGCGACAAAGAACAGACGTCATTTGTCTTTCATTGGACTGTAAATGCGTTCATTTCCCGTTCATAGATGCGCAGATACCACGTATTAAAATTGATGACGTTTACCAAATATTTGTTTTGAAACGTGATATAAAATGACGATAAATTGGTAGGTCAGGATAAATGTCGTGTAATAAAGGCAAAGTTTGGAGTTTCGCGTGATCAACATCGACTAAAATCATGCAATAAAATGATACGTAGGAAGACCACATACATGTTTATGTTAAGGATGAAAATTACTCATTCAAAATGTGTGCAATATTGCAACTCTAGGTGCTTTCTTCATTCTAATTAAGTGGTTATTTTGTCTACCTAACAACATGAAAAGCTAGAAGACACGCCCTTACTGACGATCTGGATATCCCAATTAAAAGAAATTGCAATAAAATTAATGTATATGCAAGCATTAATCCATGGTTTAATGAGTACGTATAGGGAAATTCTAGAAGTAACCAATCTGGAAACTCCCTCCCAACATGAAAATCAGTGGGGTCTGACTCTTGGAATTCATATTCCTCAAATAGATAGCGTAGTTATCGGGTGCTCAATTGGCTTTCTTCGATGGGAAGGACACTTCAGCGGCAAAAATCATTACAACCACCAGGTGGACTGTACAGTTCTAACAATACCACGTCTATTGGACTTGTACTTAAAAAGGACGACTGCGATGCAGAGTCGGACATGCCACGGGAGTTTTTCAGTGAAATTGCCCCAGTAATGTTCCGACTCATCGGTCTTTAGGCAGGCACCACACTCGGCTTCCTCACGTAATCATTCATTATTTTAAGGTTATAGCCGGCATGCAACAAGTCAACGCAGGACAAGCTGTGTTGGCAACTTTATCCACAATAGCAGAGGCGTGTCTTTGGTTGCCCAAACGGATTACGAACATATACCCTCTAGTAAGAGTTGGACGAGCGGAGTCGCAACAGTTTAACAAGCCTACCACTGACAGCGGGCCTAAAAGGGATGGAAGAAGTTTAAAAGGGACCATTCTTCACTGTTTTGATTTTGACAAAGATTGCAAAACACGTGAATAATCAAACGGCGCAGACTGGGCAGAAATAAAATTTTCTGCCCTGAACCCTAAGCACTAGACAAAAGAAACACACTGATTCTGTCACACAAACCCCCAACCTAAGGAACATTGAATACTGCAGGAAGAAGGTGAATCACCACAAGTTCCGCTTTCGGGTTTTAGTTGTATATGAAAGACGCGACCCCCTCAGCATACACAGGAAAGAAATTACGTATGCAGGACTTGAAGCCATGCCAAAATATGATGGCGCACGGAAAGATAGCGTGGGGCTTCGACACTTGCTCTCAGAAAAACAGTGGAATGCAAAGTGCAAACAAAGTCGAGGTTTATCGAAGGAGTGCCATCTAGTTCTACATTATTAGTAACAAAACATGAAGCCGGTGCGTTTTGCTCTTAACGGTAAAAAGACAAGGGAGGCAACCTTTGAAATGGGAAAATTTCCAAGAAATTACAAAAACTGGAAAGATTCTATCTTGCTTAACTACAGAGAGGTTACTAATAGGTCGGCCGCAAAACGCAACGCAGTTAGGTTACCTTATGGCCTTGAATTGCGAATGTAAACTCAAAATACCAATGTCTGGCAAATAAGTTTCCCTTTAACCCCTCATTGGTTTTGGAGAAACAAGTCTACCAACAAATAAAAATTCCCAAAACCTTTACAAGATAATCATATTTTGACACAAACATCACCAACACAAAACATTATATCATTGAATAAATTATCTGAGTGAAATTACATCCAGTCGGTACCAAAGTTAGAAGACAACTTATAGGCTTCCACGGTGTTTGTTACATATTTGATGAAAGTGAATATATCATAACTAACTTATCGAAGTACGAAGTACTTCTTTTCCAAAAATCGACTTTGAATTGACAAACGAGGGCAAAGTGACGTAGAAACATTTAGACCACCACAAATGGAAAAATCGAATGATTATGAATAGCGGTAAAGAAATGATGCCTGCGTGCATTCCATTTTACATAGCGGCCGCTAAAGTGAAACGAGGCATGGCACACCTCTTCCCGCTTTTCTCTACCATACAGTGCCTTCCTCAATAAGATAATGAAATCCCGACTAATTTAGAATAAGGTGCGTTTAATTTAAGCAAGCGAAGCAAGAAACAGGAGCAGGAATCTTTCCACACCAACCCTGTCAATTAAAAACATCGCAATAACACGACAAGAACACCGTCCCCGATGTTCTTTGGAAAACGTTGAAATATAGGAATGAAACACTTACATCGGTCGATGAGGACCGTTGCGTTAATTCTGACATCAACAGTGAAGCTAAACACAAAAGAAACGGTTACCAACTGTTCGAGTCTTACTAACAATCGACAAACAGCTGTTAAGTAAACATCGTTCAAAATTTTAAATTCCGTTAAATAGGAATTTATTAACCGGTAAGATTGCACCAACGACGAAAAATTAATACCTGAGAAGATTTTAGAATTGCAGTTTTTCCAGGCCCGCGCTATGACAAGACTTGATTATCGCATGAGAAAAGTGCCACGGATTTAATTTTAAACCGCTAAGGAATTGCTTGAGGCCAGTTGGAAATGCTAAAACCCTCAAAAATATGCTAAATTTGAGTAAATCCTTAAATGTTGAAAATCAGATAATTTCCAAACAAATTTCTAGAGGCATATACCGGTTGGAACCTCTCTAAATCTGCCGATTTAATTTGATTTTGATCATGGTTTCCAAGATATTGCTTACGATACTAGCCATTTCGGGATCACGACAGAAGTGATGACCTTGTTGCTATCATGAGATGAGTGCATGTGTGTAATATAAAAATGGAAAGGAAAAGTAAACAGGATAGGTGCACATGGCATAGTTTATGCAAGTAAGTGATACCGACAAACCAAGTCTAAATTCCAGAGAAAAGACACACGAAATCAAAAAATGAACCCATCACTAAAAAAATTAAACCAATATGTGATGCATATTTGGTTTAATTCGTTTGCATCTGATTTAGAGAGGAACTCGTGTTTTGCATACTACTTAGTAGGGGTTAGCAAGGATGTGCAAGTTTCAATTCAAGCATCTGCTTTTACAATGAATCCAAAGGGGACTACATGGGTCGTGTTAAAATCCGTAGATGTTTCTAAGGTAAAATCGATTATAATTAAACCAGTAAGTACTTGTAAGAAAAAGGAAAGAATATCAGTAAGAACCTCAAACGGACACAAGGAATAGAAAATGGTGGGGATATACTCGTCGAGTCACCTTGCGAATGTACTTAACACATTTTTAGTTAAAAGTAAACTTAATTAGAGTTTAAAGGAGCAAATACTGAGAAAGCATGAATATTGATTATGTGTGCAACCGGTTTGAACTATATGGTTAAAAACAAAACAACAAAAAGGTAACCTAATGTAGTAGACGTTTTAGATTTTGGGTCAATAGCTTCGGTGCAATCCGGTTTTGGAGACTACGCAGGACATACATAGAATTTGGAATGTAGATAACAGAAACATGTCATAACAACTTGATTTTAAAAAAAATTGTATATAAAGGAACTTAAAACCCACAATCATCACTTGCCCTTTGTGATTTAAAATGATAGACAACTCAGAAAACACATTCTTTGAAAAGATAGCTTGCGCCGGAAATAGAGCAGAGGCGAGAAGATGTCTAAAATCCAAAAACGCCGGGCGGATATTTCACATTAAATGACCGAAGAAATACTTGAGTTAAACAAACAATTAATAATTGATTTCGCAAAACTTGACTACATAATTGCAATCTATTAAAATCTTGTCTTTGCCAAATAATCAACATAAAATGATTAACTAATTGGGGAAGTCATGATGTAAAGGGTGACCTCTGAAATCCAAAATGAATTTAATAATTATTGAATAACCATTCTTAGCCCATAAAACAAGACAACACTTTTCACACACAGGCTGTATATGCGTGTAAGGGGTCCCTATTTTAAAATATCTGCATTCAGAAAAACAGTAATAACATCATTCCATGAGTCATTTTTTACGATGACATCTAAATTTATGAAAGCCTGATGGGCCATATTTATAGTGACCAAAATAGTCTTCCATATCAATTCTTAGGCTTTTAGGCCATTTCAAAATGCGTTAGTCATTCTTTATTGCACGTTCTAGATTTCGGATATCATAAACATTGGCCAACACACCTTTGAATATAGTCGCTTAATGATTGACTTTAGGACAGTGAATGATCATCCGGATAGTTTTCTGACCATGACACATGGGTTTTTTAATTAAACTTTAGTTAAATTAAAGACGATCGGGAAATATTGAATTTGCACAATATCCGCATACACCGAGTACGTGGGCCTGAATTTTACCACTTTAAATATTACATCAGGCCTACGATTGTCACCTGCGATTTATCAATTTTATACTTAATTAAATGCCTATGCGCCTACATATTTAAAAACTTCATTATTGGGCCAAAATATGAATCCCCGAAAAAATAAAACGCTACATTTTCCAGATCTTACAATTCCAAATGCTTACTCATAATGCTAAACATTTTACATTTCATGACGTCTTCTGAAATTTCACCCTTAAATTCGCTTAAAATGACTCAACCTCGCTTTTGCTTTTCATTGACGGCAGACAAATAAAATGCGTCTATCTAAAGAGAAATGGCCTATTTGACCGATATTTTTAATCTTAATTGTCATGTACTCTCAAAATTTTATTTTTTACTGTCTACGTTGGTGTGGCAGATGTTCGCCGTCAGCATTTGTTTTGTATTTGAGTAAACAAAAGATGGCAGTGCTGTGGAATACGCGTCTGCAAACTACATGCCTACTCTGCATAAAATTTTAATTAAGTAATCCCCAAAACGAAAGAGCAGTCTGACAATTCCATAAAATTCCTTTTTAAGTATGCCATCGTAAACTGCATTCCGATACTTAATTTCGTGAAATTTGATGCTAGTTCACACGTGATCTTGAAATGTTTTGAAGCATTCAGTAAAATACGCACATTGCAGACTTCAAGTTTTTTTATTTAATTGGAATTTCCGGTTTTCGAGATAGCATGCATCTTGGTACCTAGAATATTTTTTGGCAACAGGCTTTCCAGCCCAGAGTTCCACTATTTAAATAAATTACCCACGTCATTATCAATGTTTGGCCCCTTATTGTTAGAGTTAAGATTAAAATGTAAGCTGAAAAACTGCTAACAGCGATCTAACTCCACTGAAATTACGGTTAAATATATTGTATAAATGACTCATGCTTGAATTGGTGCTGCACTTTATAATCTACGAATACTGCTTTCAGCATGTCAATTATGGGCTATATTTGGCTTTACACATCACTAATTTTCACGACGACTCCCATAAGTGCAGAACAGTACTATTAGTAAACGACCACAAATTCCTAATTAATCCCCATTCATTCACGAACAAGCAATGGGAATCGGATTTTTAAGCAACCTTTTTCCTTATTCTAAAGCAATACTTTTAAAACCCCATTCTACGGCACAATTATCTTTCAATCCATGCTAGGGAAATGCAAATTGATTTTGAAGTAAATTGGTTGCTGCAAGAACAAACATTTGAGGTGCAACCAGCAGTGTTAACTAACGACGTTGTCATGATCCACTATATTTGAACAAACCGTAGGCGTCTATTACAACGGAACTCAAGGTCTAGGCCTTAATTCAGTTGTCTTCCTGGTTGTTTGATTTAAATAAGTATCTGAATTAAGTTATTTAAGCAAAGGAAAATATTTGTAATGGAACATCTGACATTACCAAATTATAAACGTAACCATCATTTAGAAAGTCCTAATGAGTTTACCAGCAGCAGGTAAGTGAAATAAGTTCAGTTAGGGCATACTTTTAAGCTCAATAATTAAACGCGCCAACGTTGCTCTTTGAACAAATGCAATTCACTGTCCTTCGAATATCAAGAACGTTTAGATACTTTTAAGCCAAAAGTGCATTAAAGTAATTCAAAGCAGATACTTAACATTGGATATGAACTAATCAATATGCCAAAGTATCATTTCCGAGATTAGAGTTTTAGTAATCGACAAGACATTATTGTGTAGCATCAGATAGATCTTGAAATTGACGAACGGTGCTGTCTGTAATGGCGAAACAATGGCAAATATTTAAGAATAAATAAATGAGCTTCCTAAATAAAAGCCCAATAGCAACCTGATACATTAACTTAATGTGTTTTTCCAATCTTAAAAAAAAGTTATTCCGGGAAAAATAGGCCATAACGTTATCAAAATATTACATCATCAGTGCATGAAAGCATTTGCATATAAGATTGCACAAAGATCAAAATAGGCGCACCATTCCTGACTTTATCAAGGTAATGATGGAAAACTACGTGATTTCTGTTACTTCAGGCTGAGTTCCTTTGACATTCACATTTTGTTAGTTTTCAGGCAAATCTGCCTTTTGTGTATTCAGTTTAAATTAGCAGCTAACACGGTCTCAAAAGTTTTTGCTTAATGAGCATGACCCCACTTTCCGTCTGCTAAACTCTGAAGCGATAAAATGAACAATATCAAGGAATTGTGTTAATTTACAAAATATTGGTGTCTTATAATGTAAACACGGCATGTCAATTGAAACTTTGGTGCCCTCGATCAGATAAACGTAGGTCGATGGCCTCAAATTGGTAAAGACAGCCTAAAATACACCGTAATCGCAATGTATATCTATGTATATTTATTGATCCCAAAAGATAAGCACAAGTTTGCAATAACATTTGATAAGTGGGAGAGTGTGACGAAATGAGTCGGTGTGGTTCAATTCACGCCTTGGCAATTGACCATTTTCGAAATGACACTTGGTGAGGTTGTCAGATCAATAAAATATAGACCAAAAACATGCTTCGTCAGAACCACATTAATTTCAAAAATTATAAGAGTTAAAGCTGCCAAATATGCCCCATTTTGAATTCTCAGCCATCTGCGGGTCCACTTGCATTGGCCTACAACAAACTTCTGCATTAGTTTACTTCGTAGAATACCTCACCTTTTCGCAAAAGCCTCGTTTCTTTCTAATGTTACCCTAAATTTTATATGAGGTAACATTTCGTTTTAAAGCGATTCATCACATCGTCCTATGGCTTACCTTAAAAGTGTTCATTCTTGCACATTGCGGGGCTATTTGAGAATCATACGACTGCTTTTCGTTAACAAATACGCCACCAGTAGTTCGCAGTAAATTTTATTACTGTTATTTAAGTTTTTGCAAACGACAGTCTTTCAACGTCGTGTTTTGCTTCAATTAGAGTGCACCATAATAAGAATATGTTCCAATAGTTTGTGGTGCTGGATACTTATCTTAACTTACTGGCTAGCATGATGTATGCCAACTATAATTGTGGGATCACCTGATCGAAGTTTCACAAACCAACTTCAAGCACACAATTTAAAAAGCTAACTCCTTGTTACTTAACACAAAACGGTTGTACAAATGTACCTTTAAAATTTTTTAAGCATGCTACTGTGTGTAAAATAACTGAAGGGTTGTAATCAATTTAACAAACCTCAAATTCTACAGAAGCACTTTTGTACATTATTTAGAAACTACGATTAATTTGCGAGGAAAAATTATTAGTGATTTGTGAATTCGTTCCACAATTTCAGGTTTGTGCAAAATAAAAAAAATAGAAAGTAGTTTAGAAGACACACATAAAGTGGTCCATTCTTCCCAAAACTGTATATTTAGCAGTAATGTAAAACAAAGGAGGACTTCAACAAACAAGCTAGAGACAGTACAACGAGGCAACAACGGGACACTCGACACTTGAAGCAATGACTATAAAAATGGAAGATTGATAATTGTCAGACAAAGCTAATGCCTTGCAAGTGTTTCCAACTTCTCGTTTGTGATCAATGGATTTAATTAAGTTTTCACATCCATCCGGAGAATTATTCTCAGTGAACACGATTCATCTTAAACTCGTAATAGGAGCATCAGATCGTAAAACCATTGTCAGCTATGAATGTCGAGCAATTCCTTTTGGTAAATGGGCAAACTCGAATGGAATAACGGGGGCGGGGTGAATATGTTCGGAGATAAGTAACCGAGCGAAACACATGGTTGTGCATTTGATGGTTTAAATGGCAGAAAGTAGTTTAGGGTTTGGTCAAACCCTCTCAAAAGCCACCACCACTGACTTACCAAGACACGCTTTAAAATTCATGAACAAATTAACAGGGGTCGGTGGACATCTTCAATTGAACGATGGAAGTAATAAATGTTCTCTGGAATTTCATCAACGAGTGATCTATCTCCACATTATGTCTTAGTATTCAATCAGATTTTGGATGTATTTATGAAGCTGTACCAGAAACTGTTAATTTATTAAAATTTCGAGTCTGTTTTCCACATCAATCAATTTTTTCCCAAAGTGCCTAATGACTATCGGGATTCAGCGAAGATTAACTGTTTTATGTAGATAATGCATCCTAACTGTGCCCAGAGGGCACAAAGTAGCGAACGATACAGTGTTATTAAGATTTTACTTCACGTTTTGCTTGCAGTTTTACTATCACACCCTTGATTGTTTACGATCGCCATTAGCGAATGTCTTCAACAATTGTAGTCCTATATGCCACTATCAAGTCCCTAATAGTTTTATTCCCATCGTAGTCAAAGACCTTACATGGTTTATGTATTCTGATTCCCCAGTGACCTGTTTAACAGGTTAAACGCTAATTGCAAGAAGCGGTTTTTGGAAACTTTCCTTTATAGCACTTAATCGGGATCAAATTCAAAACTCGTAAGTTTGCAAAACTACAATGTTAAGGTGGTATCTAAATGTCTTACCATCGTTACACGTAATTATAATACTAACATTTTACCACAATCGAGATAAAAATGTCATAAAATTTTTTGTTTTGGCTTAGCTTTAACTCGAAATTCTCGAAACGATTTAACTAACCTAATTGGAAAGTCTACAAAAAATTAATCTACGTGACACAAGAAAATGCAGGTCTTATTTCAGCGATTACACCACAGAGCAGTCGGCTACGTACAGGCGCATCACCAAATTCGTACGGGCACGGGTGCTTCCATTTGCCAAAAAACGCTAAATACAACATGCAAAAATTCCTAATGTAAAATCTTCAAATCAGGGCACTCGTTGACCACCACTGCCCAGACTGCCCTCACTATGATTCAAGCAGTACTAAAGAATTATCTGCTATGATCTTGACTTTTGTAAACCGGTACACTGAACCGGTTCCCATGAAATTTAGCTAAACTACGAGTGTTTAGCTAGAAGACAACTTTTAATAGCTTTAGGATCAAGACTAACTATTCCCTCACAGGTTTACATTGCCTGCGAAATCTCAAACCCCTCCATTTTCCAGAACAGATCCACTTACAGAAGGGATAATTCAAATCTAAGCCGTATTGTGACATTGTGTGATGGCTTTATTTCTGTCACAAGGGGCCAATTTATGTGATGAGAAAATTCAAAATAAAATCCAGTCTTGCGCATTAATTAAATCGCTCAAGTCTGTACAATTTTTTAAAATCGCCATCCCTGAGGCTTGACGAAGCACATGTCCATAAAATTTAATGAACCGCAAATCAACTTTCAAGCAGCTTTTTGGTGTAAAACTCGAATTCGCAGGATGAACTCACGGTAAACTTCAAAGGTCATCCTGATTCATGCTCTTCAGTTGCAAATAACAAATTCTCCATCCTCCATTTTGCTGTATCCAACGTCCTATGCGCTTGTCGAGATTGTCAACAGCGGCTTCTACGAGGAATTTGATTTTGTAAACAATTCCCGCATTCAATGCGCTCAAACAGTAGGCACCAACGAAACTTATGAAGCCCAGAAACCGACCCCAATTGGCCAGCCCATCGCTCCATATCGCCTCCAACGTCTGCACGAAGTCCACCTCCATGGTTTCGGGTCTTATAAATAGAAGAGCCTGGTGATTTCTAAATCGGGGTAGAAAGGCCTTCTCAAATTCAGCTGCACGATCTACAAGGCACTCCATGATGTACTGTGTCGTTTTATGCCACTCTGTTCGACCTCGCTTTTCTTCAAACAAAGGGAGCCCCTCGTGTCCTCGTTGACCGATAAGGTAGAGAACATAGTCGACGAGGATTCGTTCTATTACCTCTCTAGTGGGCAGTTTGTCAAGAGAGCAAGTCACATTATAGATATTTGAGTCGGCTTCAGTAGGACCTTCGATAAAGTGTCGTGCAACTGGCATGGCTTTGGCAATCCTGACGGAGGACCCAACCTATTGATTTCTTTCAAATTGCTTTAAATTGAGGGCTCGTGGCAGTCGCACACCGGAGGCGCAACGTGTAGAAGCTAAGTTGGGGAGTTTTAAATGCTGCCCGCACTCCATCAAACTTTGATTAAAAGGTTTTTGAACACTTGTTCTGAAAGCAACCACCATTTAACTTGGAGCGTGATTACATCGTAGGTTTTAGCCAAAAAAGAGCTAACCATCAGATTCATATCCGGGAGTATATGGCGAGCTCCATGATAATGGAAAAAAAAGAATATCTGACTTGAGTTCGAAATGGTGAACAGCGTCAAACCTGGAGACTCAGTGAGTTTGACATGTTTGAAATGTACAGCTGCCTCTGCGTCAACTCACTTTACACAGACGGCATAACGGCTTGCTAACATAATTTCTTATGACGGTCTAAAGTAAGGTCCGAAAAACACACGAGACACACAAAAAACTTGCGTACTAGAATAATTCATGTGCTAAATCATTTTGCTCAATATCTAAGTGCGGTTGAACTATCTGTCATACTGGATCTCTTACACACTTCAGATACCACCAGATGAACCTCACAGCTAGTCTTTACTTCCTCCCGACTCAGCCTTTGCAATTGTCATTGTTAACTGCTCTGACCACGTTCTTGTGCGAATTACGTTGCTGCAAAGAGTCGAGCTGCAGCTTTTGTGGAAGATTTGCTTACTTTGCACTCACGAAGATACGTACAAGGAATAACAGAATCCACCGGGTTTCAATGGTCCAATAAGCGTGGCATTACCAGGCTTCTGTCGACCGCATTCTTGCCGCTTCCTTGGACTGTGTTGACTAATGGTGCGAGATACACCATTAAACTGATGATAAACCTTCCTTGAAGGTTCAAGCGTTGGTCACTTGTGTGATTTTTACATAGCGACAAATTCCATCACAACCTCAATCATGCTAATGGATTACCGGAGCAGAATCTTCATTTTTTTAAAAAAAAGTGGCAGGTAAGATTGCGTGCCAAAAAGCCAGGGTCACCTTCATTACACAAGGCAAATTGATCGCTCGGCCAATTCATCTAAAAAGCTAGTCACGTTGTCAGAAACACATCGTTCATTATCAACGTGATAAAATAAACAGTACAAGAATAACAATTAATAAAATTCACCAAGTAAGGGCAACACAGTAATTCTTTGAGTGACGAAAAATGGTACTTTCAGAGGGAAGAAGGGAAGCACAGGTAATTACTGTGATTCGCGGTAAAATTACAATCCATACTGCCACAAACTGAGTTATTCTGCTGAATACCACTTCAAAAATGCTTCAACATAAGAGCATACAACAGTGTAACATCCTAACCAGCGGTCACAGGAACCTACAGCCCCAGTTTGAAGAAAGCAAACAACAGTTTTTGTTGAATTAAGCTTCCTCATAAACATAGTCATTCCTACGTAAACAAACAAGTTCACACAATACTTAATAAAAATAAATAGTATTATCAACCAGTTGTCACCAACCAATCTTAGAAAAAAATTAGGAGGGAGGGACGTCAACTACGTTATAGAAAAGACCACCGGGATGTTTCTAAAACCAATCTCAAAAAATAGGGCATGCGGGGGCATATGCCCCAGGGTACACGCAAATACAGATAAAACATACACAAAATACGAATTTGTGCCCACGTTCATGTTAACAGGTGAAATGCAGAGAAGGTAATCTTCTGAAACACCGTCGTATTTACAATAATTTTCAGGGGAAGGTAATGGGATGAGTACTACCTAAGCGGTCCTGTAAATTGGTTGCGGAGATTAGTAATAGCTGGCAACACCGGAAGTTCTCTACCATTTTTGAGCGCATAGAATATGCAGAGTGCAGCATGAAGAAAAGTGTACTGTTCGGAGTTCTCGACCATTCCGCCACGATCAAGTCGCAATCGGGAGACAATGCCCAACACATCTACCTTTCCTTCGTTACAGATCTGCTCGCATCCGATACAGAGTGCAATGAAGCACCCTGTTCTTCCGACTCCCGCACTGCAGTGCACCACTATCGGACGGGATGGTGACGACTTCCCGACGGGGGCCGGGTCTGACGCTCTATAGCCTCTCGGGCCGGAGAGGCGGAGGTTCAGCAGAGATGCGTCAGACACCTGATCCGACGCCGAACGACTGGAATCGTCGAGGGAAAAATGGTCCAACGCAGTGGTCGGTGGGCTTTCACATTGAATCGATTTGGAAAAGCGGAGATCGAAATCGGCGTCTGACCATTCTTCCGCTGCTTGTCGGGAAAGTGGCCGAGGTGGCGGTGACAATGAAGAATTAGGAGTCGGGACCATCATCGTAACTGGTGTAGAAGGGAGGGAAGAGCCACCGTTTTGGTGACGACAGGCCTCTGTTTCTTGGACGAGTTCGAGGAGGCTGCGAGCCGACTCTACGGTTGCTTCGGGTGATGAGTGGTCAGACCAACCGACATACCAAAAGTGTGTGACTCGACGCTCCTCACCGTCCATCTGAGAAAAAAATTAAATTTATACTCGAGACGTCCAAAAAAGCGATTTGCAGTTACGAAGGGGCTGCCTTTGGTGATAAGACACCCAACGAGTTTAAAGAAAATAAGATGACCCCACGTTCTCAGGGCGAAATTCAGTAACCAAGAAATGATGGGCGTCCTGATTTAAACGTTACGCCTGTTACAATAGCTGACATGCCTAAATTTTAGTAATTATGCAATTTTATGCAACGAGACAAACAATATATGACAGGAGGAACTCGATGATGCGAATCGGTTGAGTGAGGAACTGTGTGGCAGGCGTCAAAGACGGATTTTTTTTCTATGAAATCCAATGGTGTTTTTAAGTAAAACTTCAAAATTCCTTATAGGTGTTGGGTAAGACAGAATGGTTTAGTCTGATGTGCCACAAATCACAGCGCTTGGGAGGGCGTCGATGGAACAACATTTGTTACCACGAATAAGCCACGAGATCTTGCCGAGACATGTTTGTGCGAGCTCAAATATTAACTTTTAATGGGAGGGAATTAAACGATCGACTGTGCGGTGTCTGTGTGTGGATAGAACGATCAACTTTGGTCACTTAGCGCCATGGATAGCGGGAGTGCAATTCCTGCACATCGAACAGAAACCGCAGAGCTGATAATCAAGTGGAAACGGACCACAAGTCGTGATGAATAACAAATTACAATCACCCAAGCTCTTAACAACCATTCAAGAGTCGAGATCAATTAGAGTAAAAAACGCATTACCAACAGCGTACTTACCCGAAGGAGGAGTTTGCGTTCAGTGTAGCCTTTCTTTTGGGTTACAGCAATCACGCGGACGTGGATGCTGCCGAACATTCGCTGAGAACCAACAGGTGAACAAGTGCGCGAAAACTCCTCACCCCAGCTTGCAACCCCCTCGACGGAGGGAGCAGAGACCGGGGAGGGCAGCGAATTGGCTGACTGCAGCAAGTGGCCTGTAGGTTTTGTTTCGCCAAGAGAGGTTTCACTGGGGTCTGGCACGGTGTCCGCTCGCACAGACGAGTTGAGGGCGCGGCCACTTGAGTCACGCTTCGATGTCGGCAAGTAAAGCTCACACTTACTTCGCTGCAATAACATCAATGGGAAAAAATGATTTATTTACTGCATGCTGCTACAATCCATAAAAAAGGCTATATTGTGGTTCAAGTCGAATTTGAATGAAGACTCATAGTCAATGTTCACACTCGAGGTCGACAGACTCGGGCTCCAACCTGCATAAATAACCACTGTCTAATCCACTAAACCAAATAGATAAGCGAGTACTAGATGAGAATTGAGTAATGGAGCGGCAGCGAATGTTTATGAACATCTTTCAGCAACACCACTTCTCTTCAGCAAAAAGACACGCTTGCCATTTTCATCATGGTGACCTGGCCACAACCAGTTGCACAGAAAACCCTGCCGCATGACGTGTAGCGACTGTAGCAAGGGCGAGAACGACAACCAGCGCGGAAACCGACTTTGAAAACCTGGCAAAGGAACGCCAAGGATACCCCCGAAAACCCGCGAAAGCTGTCAGCCTGTCTTATGTTTGAAGTACTACACTGGGATAGCAGTAGGACCACGTTTAGCCGATCAGATGAGGCCTTGGGGGGAGGGGGTATTAATTGCTTCGTTCTGCTAACAAGACACGTGAAAACATCGTGACAGTCTACAACACACACAGCCACATTAACACTTCAAAAAGAATCGAATACCCCTCAACGTGTTAAGAAGGGGACAGGTATTTCATTGAAGACTCATGAACATCTTGAATTCAATTAGTTTTAGGTAAAGTTGATGCATCATAGGAATGATTTACGTACTAAACGCAAACATAAACAGTTCGCAGTGAAAAAAAACTATCAGATTAGCTCGAAAAAAACCATTCATAGCCAACCAATGGAGTAGAGAGGAGAAAACAGGTAAGTTGGCCCTGCGAATTCAGATCCACCACTTTAGGTGCCCATGTGACAAAAGTTCGGGGTGCCAAAAAGTTCTAAGCCGACGAATTAGTCGGATAGAGCTTGAAATACACAGAACCTTGCCTGAAGGGCAAAAAGAACAGAAATTGCAGTACCTTTAAGGTACATTAAAAATTCGCCTCTGTGTTGACTTTTTAAGGTGTTCCCAATCGTTTTCGAATTAAAGCACCTAAGATTAACGCCACCGAATTGACTAGTACAAGTGCATCAAGTTATCAACGGTCAATTAGCAGTAGCGAATAAAAAAAACCGTTCATTTGCCAAACCACATACACACACCCCATCCGGAAAGTGCACGAAATCCCAATTCACAAATCATGGTAAGTGAAAAAGTGGACTTTTGAGATATCCTGCTTAGGTTGGAAATAACGGATGATTCCTTTTAAGCCGATTGTACCTAAGAAACAGCTAATAATCAATGAGCTACCACGTCACAAGATTGTCACAGAGTACCAACAATCAATTGTGCTCAACCTTCAGGGTGTGGAATCCTCCGGTGAGTGGAGCTTTGACGGGGTGCTCCCTGGCTTCTACATGGTTCTGGCTAAAAAACGCCACTTGTGTCCAGCACACTGCGGAATGCCCTTCTCACGCACAGTTGAAGGCACTCTTGCCATAGTGTCCACCGCAGTGACGCAACATACACGAACTTCGTTCTAAGATTCCACGTGAGCCTAGGGCTCGTCAACGCTTCGTGAATTGACAGGTGAATTTTTCAGGCATGCTGACCAAACATTGTGCCAGTCTGCATTCTTGAAGGCACTGACGATATCTTTCGACTATTCCAATTTTGGCTTAATTTTACACGATGCAAAATAGTCGAACAAGTTGACTAAATTGGCTTGCACTGGCGCCATTCGACCACCAGTAGATACCGAAAACATATCCCAAATGAAAATCAGCCCCCGCTTCGGTCGCTGTCGATTCGATAACCACGCTGACGCAGATGGCTGTCACAATTTCTAGCATGCAACATGCACCACTTTCATTTCAGCGCTTCTGTAATTCTAGTGAAGAATCACAACTAGCAATAGTGAGGAATTCGTGACGCAAAGTTAAGTTCAAGTTGGTATTATTATTGCTCTTAAGGGTGTTTAAACCGATGAAAATTGGTGTAACGTACCTTTATGATTTCCGTGGTTAAATCATTACTTTTGGGGGTACTGACATGTGGAGGGCGGGGGAACGAACCAAAGGCACAGTACTGGGCTAGTTACACTGAGCTAAAAACGGCTTCCAGCAACGACACGGGCACACTTAGGCCAAACTGAACGCTTATTAATGGTTGTCGAGATAATGATTTAACCAATAATTACAAATTAGCATAAAATGCACTCACCTTGTCTTCTTCACAAATTTTTGTTAACATGACAACGGCAGGCGCTCGAGTATGCCAAACCATTCGCCAAAAGTCATTTACTGTGTGAGACATTGGACCCTGTGTTGCAATGAAGGCTCGCGGTCGACCCTGGTAACCCTACGACAAAACATGCAACAGGTCTGTCAAGTGGATTCTACGGCCTGATTCGATCAACAGACGCTTCGTGTCAATTTAGATCCACTTCGCCTTCAAGAAGTGTCATCTTAATAGCATGAAATTTCATGGTGAACAATATGGGTATTCGCTTCGCTCACAATCAATTATGGTTCACTATAATTTAAGCTAAGTGAAGAACTCGGCCACAAGCTGAGGCCGCGTCAGTATGGCGACGTATCAATGACCCTCTAAGGTTAAGAAAAATAAACTTAAATCCTTGTGAATAACCACAACAATGACAGGCGAGTAATGCAGTTATACTGAGGCTCTCCCAAAACCTGCTTTGATGTCAGTTAAATTTTCAAAAACAAAAATGCACCGATAGAGAAAGAACAATCGATTGCAAGAGTCCCTGAGAATAAAAACTATACAGAAATGAGCACAACAGACGTACGTGGATGTAATTAGCGTTGATATAACTGGTCATTTCATCGTTATTGATCGCGGGAAGAACAACTCGCGTGCTATTATCTTCAATGGAAATAAAAATCAAATATAAACAAGCTTTAGCAATAGTTAATAAAATTGACAACGTTATAGTAAAGTATACTGATTCGAATTAAGGCATAAAAGCGATTTGAGATCGCAAAACAACAGGAGGAATATCATGGAGATCACGATAAAATGCATTTTCTTTAAACACCGACGACTTACGAGGTAGAACCTCATGGTATCGATTTTTCTGACCCACACCAACCCACGGACAATCAGCTTTGTTGGCGAAATTCATAGGAATGTCCCAAAATTCATTGTACAGTCTATCTTCACCCCCGTAGCTGAGCTTAGCCTCCAAGGCCTCCCCAGTAAGTGGCAACGTGGCCATTCTAAGCGTAAGCCGATCTGCTATCTTGCTGGGTTCTTCGCCAGTCTTTGGTCGTGATGAGAGATTTGCATTGGTGGTGAGAACAGTCGGCGGAATAGCAACGGCCTTCCCAGTAGCACAAAGTGAGGATTCGTGACCAAAAGTAGAGTAACACGTCTGGGGCTGTTCGGCAAAGAGGAGGCGGTTGTCGTCCTCATTGGTGCTCCCCGTGATGCCTGTCATCATTTTGCGGGCGGGAGAAGGGATAGAGGCACCGCTGTGGAGGTTGAGTACCAGGGCTGCGTGCGGACCTCGACGGCTGAATTGGAGACGTAATTAAAAGCGTTCAAATACCAAGACAAATAAAACATGACTACGAATAATTAGGGCTTTCGAGAAAAGAAGGCTTTGCCGCAAGTACCACGTCCCATTAGCTTGTTAGAAACCTCTGCCTTTAGTACTAGATTTATTCCAGGCCTTAAATCGCGACACCACGGCCAGCAACGACGTGGATCATGATAATGCCTAAAATTTTCCTGGTGGGCAAAGACTCTCCGTTCGGGAATTTTGGAATGTTCTGTCCAACGATGCCAGCAGCATGAAACAACGACAAAGTCCTGTTTATCAGACGACATTTATGCACAAAATCGTACGAGTCCTAACAAGGACGCCCACTATTATAAGATTGCTGTGATTAGTGTTGATTCACGCCCATCACCTCCGTCGCCGCACCCTGCGGCCCTTTAGTCACGGCGTACCCGACAGCCATGCGAGGCTGTCTCCTCACCCCTGTGCATGCACCTCCCCCACACCGTCGTTTGTGTGGGTCAGCAACAGTCATGCACGACTTTGAACACTCACACACACACACACAACTTGATTGAGAAATCTACTAAAGCGTTGAGTCTCGCTTTCTTCTTCTGCCGAATTTCTTCTACGGGTATTGGGTGCTGTTTTGTCACAACGAAAGAAAGCAGCTGCAGCAATTTGGGGAACCACATGTATGAACACAATCACCACAAGGGACCGGCAGCACCCTAAGCACTTGCGACTGGCCTAGCGCAAGTGCAGGCGCGAGACCACCAGTGAATACAAACGGCTGTTACGACAGTTCCCAAATATTATCAACAGACGCCAAACAGATCACGACAATGGACCTGAAGCCACAATTGCGTAGTATAGACATAGCTTTAACAGATCTAAGGAAAACAAGGGCAGACCACCAAACACAACTAAGGCAAGAAATCAGTTAATTAATGCTGGTCAGGAAGTTTCCGGTGCATTAGATACTAAAGGAGATGAAACGATCTTAAAATTATTTCCTTCTGAGTGGGCACACCAAAGGTAAATTCAGCGACACAGGAAACACCGGTCTCGTTTGGGAAGTAGAAAAGGAGAAAAAACTGCTAGAGGATGTTAAAACAGACGCTACAACATATTGTGGTGACGAAATTCCGAATGAAAGTGCAAAATTATTTCAATTAAACAGCGGCGGTCATTCTCTATAGCTTAAATGACACAAAATACTTGATTGGGAATGGAAAAGTATTCCCAAAGGCCTGATGAAGGTGTTTAACGTTCACTTCAGCACGCTACTACCGGAATTCCTTGCCGCATAGACACCGACCTTTAAAGCGGTTGATTAAATTTACATCGTGTCGACCGGGCAGAAAAAAAACCATAATTACCACATACACACCAGCTAATCGCGTGCCACACGAGCCTTTGAGTCAGAGAAGGAAGATGAAGAAGGTGAAGCAAGCTCAAAAACAAAAAAAGTTTAAACACAGCGACATGGCTTCGAAATCGTGTAATACTACAAAGAAAACATTAAAGTTTGGATTAGAAGCCTGAGATTCGTGACATCATCAAGCCCACGTCTCGCTTTAACAGCCATTACCATGGCATAATTATCTCCCCGCCTGTCCAGAGCAGAACTCGAACAATTAAAATCAATGCAACATGAGGTTTTCACACTCCATGAAGGAGAAAACGGCCGTGTCTGTTGCACATGACAGATTTCGTTCGCACAAAATCTCTTAACAATTCCACACTTTCTCGATGCTCTGTCGGAGTATTCAGGTCGCACATAATCCACTGATCGTGCAAAGGTGGTTTCGATGTGTGTACAAGGTGTTCACAACTGTCAACCTCAAGTCCAGAGAACTTTAGGCCCACGAAGACGCCATGTTTTTCACTGCAGCTTAAAATTCCACTCAGAAAGAAGACATCGCTCAAATCAAGTTACCAGCACAGGTTGTGCCTTTGTTGGTGCTGCCCCTGAAGGATCCATTCAGGCTAAGCCAATGCTCATAGACTGTTAGCCGTTCGCAAGAGTCCACATGTTTCCAACAACGAGAGAAGTACTAACAAGTGATTTGCCGTTGAGCTTATTCTTTGGATCATGTCTTTCACAGCATTGATGTGACGAATACATCCCTTAAGGAAACTGTAGCAAATACGATGCTGACACTATACATGGCATAAACTATAATATACATCAGTTTGAATCACGGCGAAAGAATAATTACAACATTTTTGGTCAAATAACGTATGTAAAATATCAGTGACAAAAGTGGTAATAAATAGAAGCCCAAACGAAATTTTACCTGAACACAAAAATATGACGCCTGATGGCTTATGTAAAGAGTGGAAAGACTGACATAAGACGCAAGGTTTCACGTAATCTAACTTGGACACAATTTACGTACAGCTCAAGTAGGCTTCGGTTTTTGGATTTGGGCGGCTCATCACCGAATCCCACAGTGTCAAGCGAGGTCTTTAAAGCTGGCATACGATCCTCTTGATGGATGTCACCCACAGAGCATGAGGACTCGATGAGACCAGCCCTCTGCTGTCCCAATTCCACTACTCTCATGGCCGGCGCTGGAGGGGGTTGAACTTGGAAGGTACTCGTCACAGTTGGTGGAATCGCAGGTGATGAAGGCAGTGAGGTACTAGCAACTGTCAGATGAGTTCGTCGGCACGGATCTGATTTTCCTGGTGTGTCTTCGATGGAGTTGGAGAGCACCGAAGACGGGTTGGTGGCATCTTTCAAGCAGCCACCGTCAGTGCAAGGAAGAGAGCTACCGGATGCGACAGTGAGTTCACCGACACCAGTATAACAACAGCAACACGAGGGGCCAAAATCCTCTTCTTCCACTTTTCCGTCAACCTGACTAAGAACAGGTGTGGAATTTTCTGGTGGGTCACCGAAGTTGATGTCGTGGGTTGCGGCTTCCAGACGGTGAGTGCTGCTGCTTCGCTTCGATTTCAAGTGGTCCTGACGATGACGAAAAACGCACCAGCTCAACTAAAGCATGAAATTCAATATATGCTTAAACATATAAAAATACGAACACACCGAACAATAGCACCCAATTAATCTAAGTCTTGGATGGGAATTGAGCCCCAAAATTCCGGTTTTTGAGGTCGCCATACCTCGACATTCCCTTTGCCGAGACAAATGTTTGAAAAAAGGGTGGAGTAGAACTTAGCACACCCACGAAAAAATTGCAACTGAAGTAAAAACTACAATGTCATTGAAGATTCACACACATTTACAAATTGTATCGCAAAAAGTTGGGGTTTAATCGGATTCCCTTCCCAGAGATAGGGCACCACGGGTACGACACTTGCAGATAATGACTAGTGTCAACATTCATGTCACGAGGAAATGACTTTCGTGTGTTCAACCAAGGGTTTATTTTTTTCATTAAACAATAGGCAAATTAATTAGAACGAACATTAACGACGTAAGGCTCTTTTTTGGCCGATTACAGAGTAAGCACGATCCATTAAAGAGGTTTACAAACATCATGGTGGTAGGTAATGTTCTGAACTGCAGACGAGCTGAAATAAGTTTGATTGCAGCAAAACTCATCGAAGGATACACCATGTTGGAGCACGACAACCGCTTTCCTGGTTCTACAGACGCAAATTTCTGGTAAACACAATATCACCGGGATCGAATGTGCTGTTATTTGACAAAGTAGAATTTAATGAACGAAAAAAAGTGCATCCGTGGCAAAATGAAAATTTCAAAATAGAAACGAAGAATGAGGAGGGGTGGCAAAAGTAGAACGAAAAACACATAATCTTAGTACTAAAGTAGATCACCAAAGTAGCCGAAAATTACCAACACAAAGCCGTTCATAGTAAAAAAAAACAAGACACGACTGCCGGAAGTAAGGTTTACCCGAGAAAACAAAACGAAAAAAGACATAGACATTTAAGCCAGTAACGGAGAAACAAATAAGCGCAAAAACGTTCACTGGCCATGACAGGCTGGTGGGTGAAAAAACTGCTCAAGCACCGGCACCTGACAAGGATGGGGATGTGTAGCGTCGCGCAGATATCAAACAGAAGTGCTTCTGTGATTGGAACTATGATAGTAGGAAAGTGACTGACAATTACGTTTGAACAATTCCCGAACTGCCGTCGTAACTCCACTTAGATGTTGATACTAGTGGAATCGACGGACGCAAGTTCACTTAATTTACATCATGTGATTTCGCCTTACCGCTCAAAATGGAATGGAAGTACAAGAAGTGCTGAACCGAGTGCATAACCACTGTCACTCGCAGTGAGAATGTTTGTAGTTCATGTTAAAACAGTTAAAATACGCATTTAATGTAAACTTTGCCGTAAATGACGCAATAAAAAAACCCGGGGCCTACCTTTTTGTCTACACGTTTCAGTGGCATCGCTGACGCGGAATTGTATGAGATGTGGGAAACAGTGGTCTCTACACGCATTCAGGTTGCCAATCAAGGTGAGAATATGCGCGCACACTTGCAGGCTTTTTGAAGAGTGGCTGCACTCGCCCACACACACACACGCACACACCACAAGTGAGGCTTTGTGTGTGGTGCTAAGCCTCGCATAGGATGAATGACACTGTAGTGTCTTGCCAAGTGGGTGTGCTGGCGCCAGAGAAGAATGCCGTTTCAAATGCGGTTTTTTTACTTCGAGATATGGTTTTACAACAGTGCCGCCGAATGCACGTCCAGGATCTCAATTCTCCTCTTACGAACCTAAAGCGCTTCAACGTGAAGGCCGGGAGAAAATCGACAAAATGTCAAGGTATGGTCGTATTCTTCAGAAGGACGCGATTATGGGGCTAGAGCAAGTGAGCGCATAGTCATCTTGACCGAATTAGCCATGATTGAAAGAAACTCTCCAGTTGGAAACAGAAGCCAATTTCGATGATCAATTGACCTATGGTTCAACCAAGGCAGTCGGGCACAGATCGATTCGTGGACGCGTTGAGGAGCCCGGACTACAGTGAAAGCGGATCAAGAATGAAAGCTGCTCTGATGCATTACGGGAACAATCAAGGCGTTTGTTTCGATGGCCGAAGAAATCTCGGTATGCTATGCTTCGTGCGTTAAGAGAATTGACGCCAAAAGGCACGTTTTTACAATTAGGTTGAAATGTAATAAGTTTGAATTAATGCCTTCGATTTATAAAACAAAACATAGTCATCAGCTAAAATTATCACAAATAGCAGGAGAAATCAATAATAAATTAGAAACACTTTATAGGCAAGAGGCTCACAACAGTAAACCATTAAAGAGATATCGCGTAAAAAAGGCGCCATATAGCGCGTTGATGAATTTGGGAGAAGTGAGATTCGAACAGTAGTAAACTCAAAAAAATAAAGACAATCTCAGTTTAAAATAGGTACAAAAGTTAAAATTTACTATCAATTTTCGGCAACACAAACCAACTTCACATTTAAGTTAAAGGAAAATAATGTGAGAGAAACAAATAGCCCGCAGCAGGCGTCAAAATCGAGAACATGCCTAAGAGGTGGACGGCCGCTGATAAGCTTAACAAGAGCCGAAGAACGGGCTTTAACAAGACGACACAGCGCCACCAGGTTACTTATAATTGTATTCACGACAGGATGTTATTTATGCTAACAGCACTAACTGCCCCAACTTTATGCACCAACTGTCTCTGATTTGATACAATCACTTCGACCTAACGCAAAATCGCCCCCACAGTCAATACACAAAATGGATGTTTAAAAGCTTATCTTAAATTAAATTAAACAATGGGGTACAGTGTAGACAAGGTTCTGCCACACCTTAAAATAGCCAAAGCTTTGATTCAAGTAAACGGCACTTGATTAGGCACTTGGTACACAGAACCAGCTGCCTCGTCAAATCCGGCGAGAATTTACCGCGTCAGATCAAACGTTAAAAAGACTAAGTTGGTCCAAAATGACGGCAAAGCAACTGAACACGATAGTGATTAAACTCCGGTACTTTCACAAGACCAATTAATGCCAGGAACGTTACTATAGGGATATTCTTGCATGTGGGTGAGCGCAAGACGCGCTCTGGTATCAAAGGTCACTGGGAGCATGACATGGTTACCGCCAGTAAGAAACGATGACGCCTTTTCACACGTAGGCTAAATGCTGATTGCGAATGCGCATAACTTTGAAGGGGTTTTTGCACAAGAACATATTACCAGACAGCTTAAGGTTTTGGTGAAATCATAATTTATGCAACCACTTTTCACCAGATCACACATCCGTATAATCATCATGCCGGCTCTCCAAAATTAAAGTGAATGGCGCATGCGGGCCGGCATCATGCGAAAAAAAACACGTTTTTGTGGTCAACGGCATCGCTTGATTGGCAGTCAAGTCACCACTAACAGAAGGCTCGGGTCTCACTCGAATGGTTTAAAATTTGGTGATGGCAATCCGCGGATTAGAGATGGGCCTTCGAGCGATGAACAATAAAATCGCTGGTACAAAACAACAATTATCAGTAGGACAGGTGTTGAGTTTGCAAAAAATGCGTTCAATGAACTGGACACCTTACGGAAAACCAAAGACGAAAAGCCGGCGAGAGCTGCACAGATAAACATATTGAGACAGTGCCGGTGAAATTTCTGAAATACACGATAATGAATCAATCAGGCTTAAGACACTTAACGATTACATCCACAAGGACTAAAGAGGGTCAATATATAGCGAGATTACTAGCAAAAATGCACGAGTTCATCCGAAAGCTGCCTTGAATAATGGGATTTAGGTAAATTTAAAGGCCAAATTGCCTACTGGTAGGGTTGAGAGACGGAAGCAATCGACATTTGATTTTTCTCTGTTTCTGCGGCTGACAATAAATCCAGAAAATAAAGCAGGGTTTTCTCGGTGGAAAACCAGGACATCGTCAAAAACGGTAAAAGAGGACATAGAGAAGGCACACTAAAAGTGGTCATTTAAAGCTGCTTTATCGGTTGAATTACACAAGTACACATGTCAACACGGAAGAGAGCATTCCCATACGCGGAGATTTTCCTTAAGAGCAAGTTTTTACACTAATTCTCATATACTACTTTTATACGGCAGACCTAGTTGAGACAAACGGTGTCAGCAAGTACGTAGAGCAGAACCGCGTCTCAGTACGACGACGGGTACCTAGCACAAACCTTGATAGTAAATGAATCTAAAATTTACACTGGCGAGCAAGGCAGAAATAGGAGAAAATATAACCCTTCAAGTAGAATATTTTTCAATATCATAGACGACTAAACAACTGTCCAAGCACAAGAAGTGCTGCAATGTGGTCTGAAAAATGCATCTTACGGAGGTTATAAAAACATCCTCGGCGAAATCCCAACAAATTTAGGTTATGTACCCTCGACCCCCTTTCACAGAAAGAACACAAATGACACCATGTCCACAAGCTCAAAAACTGATCAAATGCTGCAGGTCTGGTTCCTCGCCGGTATGAGGTTCGAGGTGCGCAGTCAGGTAAGTCCAGCGGAAAACTTGCATTTGAAGACGTCTTTAAAGTAGCGACTTGTGTTTAAGTAGGATAGCCAGGACATTTAAAGCAAACACACAGATAAAAGAACTTGCTGCTTGGAAGAAAGGAATGCAGAGAGAAGCAATTGCTTTTGGCATCAAGTCGTGAGTGCGAGTGCACGACTTTAGCAATTATTTACAAGGTACATTACGCGGGCCAGTGGCTGTTAGTTTGGTCAATTGACATCAGCGCACGTGCGAGAGCGTAAACGCTCAGGGCTCGTGTTACTGCCGCAACCGCCACCACCGAGCCACTCTCCTTCTGCATGGCCTCGTAAAAAAGCCTAATTCTTGACGTTCAACTAACCCGCCCACGCATTCGGATTCTGTGACGCGAGGACGATGGGAGAGTTAAAGCAGCCAACAGCGAAGCGTCTCGCTTTCTATAGAGGTGGCTGTCATAGTCGATTTCTTCAGATTAAAGGCGCTGAAAGCGGCAACATTTTTCATGTTCACATTGTCTGCCAATCCAGAAATGTGGTCAAATAACAAGTCCTTATTGGAAGCACCTGTATTTCCACACCGACGGAGTTTCTTCAACACCAATTACGAAATTGAGAAAAGTAACTGTTTAGAGATCACACTTAGAAGATCAGTACATACAATTTGTGTTCGAGGGTCCATGTGGAAGAGCATCCCAGGTGCAAAAACTGATCTCAAAGCATTAGACATTTACCTTCCTTCAATTCCCAATACATTGGCTAAATTCCGCTATTTTTGGACTTCAGAATGCCTATGTCGAGTGAAGCCATACATTTTTAGTTTAGATGCACCCTACATATCTCTGCATACAAGCCACTACTTCTAACCCAAATCAAATTCACCACAAATAATTTCTAATACAGCATTGAGCCTTCCTAATGCTGAAGAATAAGCATCAAAGTTGGTACTTTGTTTAAACTACGTGGGATACTTGCTAGGTTATGAATTACCCACCAGACTGTCGATGGCAGAGCAGTCTCATTGGGGAGAGGAAGATTACGGAAGCGCTAAGAAATGAAGGGTAATCCTCTATTAGTACCCTACCTGAGAAAGCATTCTGGTAAATAAACTTATGAATTGAAACCGCGTCTAAATCATTGTTGACAACGTGATTTGAATTGTGTAAAACTTGAATAATCCCCACTCAACTACATGAATTAAATAACTTCTACAATTACCACGTTAGCTATGGTACGGTATCAGAATGCAGGACTAGCTACCACTTACGCATAATCAGCAATAGTGAAATTGCCGCCATTTAGCCGACTTTTGATTAGCTTAATCGCTTCCTGCTGCACCATTATGGTGCAGTGATTCCCTTTAGGCCGTTCGTGATGTAATTATTTCAATAGGGCATAGCCATTAATCACAACCAAAAGTAACATGAACGCGTGATTCGCCAGCCCTACAAACTGCTGTGTTTTGTAATTTAATTACGATGCAATGAATGACTTACAATTTTCCTACGCTTTGCGACTGATACGAGCATTTGAAAAAGCAGATGGGAATACATTTCACAGGGGGTAATAAATGCCTGCCTTCAGGCACCCGAAAAGTATCTAGTAACACTGGGAATTATTAGCGATGTGACCAACATAATCCAAAAATGTGATGTAATACGGGGTTTATCGACCTACGGAAAACGCAGTCTTTGATGGACTACTTAGCATTAGACTTTAGTTTAAACCCATGTCTGAAAAAAAGCGTATAGATGTGTGTTCATTTTGTCCAAAATCTGTAAATCGTTTGATAAAACTACTACATAGAACCAAATGACTGGGACAAAGAAAATGGCATTTTGCAAGTGTAATGATTACCCACCAATAAAGAGAGGATCGAGAATATCATCTGAACACAAAGTGGGAATGTCCGAACGAGATCGAAGTGGGGCAGCTTAATTAGTTATCAGCTTTAAAGCCATTAAGTGTTCAGCATCAAAAGACA